AATACAAAGGCAGGAAAAAAATGGGAGGGAGAGAGAAAACAACTGACGCAGGACTTAAGATGACACAAATTATATTTCTGAACATCACCAAGAAACAAAATGGGACAAATTCATCTACTACTTGTTACTGGAACTGGGCATCACAGCTCTGAATACAGTGGGAACTGTTCAGCTTCATTTAAACAAAACAAAATTAAAATAATAAAAAAACACTTAAAACCCAAATGTTTTCAGGTCATTGTGGTTAAACTCAAGAGACTGATGCAACACAAGGAAATGAGATTGCCAATACATTGCCAAAGTCCCTGCCATTTGATTCAGTTAAAGAGGAGCAATAAGCCCAGGACTGCATGTGGCAAGTTTTAAGTAGGGACCATTTATATGAAATGCAAGACTAGGGTCAGGATTAGCAGAGTGAAAACAGGTGAAGGAATTATAGACACAAGATACACCAAGGTATAAGTTCATACAGACCAGTCTTTGCAGCTGTACCTTCTCCATTCAGTTTCATAAACAAAATTTCTGAAATAACTAATTCCCATGTGCCAGCTACAGACCCCAAGCTCCACAAGCACTGGTGGTACAATCCAGCTCTGGGCACCACACAGGACACCTTTCAGTCAGAAGTTTGCTACTCAGAAATGTCTAAAACAGAGCATGCTAGCAGAGAGGTGTCTGCACCAGTGCTAGGTGTGATGGTACTTGTGTGACAAGGAATAGCTTCCCTTTGGCAGCCTAGAGAAGAAAAGCTGTTGCTTGTTTTCCCTATATTAGAATTATCAAGCTGCACTGTGCAGGATTTACCAATGGACATATTTGTGCATCTTCTAGCTTTGTACTTTAGGCTGCTTGGAAGTGCCCTATGCCTTCTTCATCCCAAAAGAGCGTAGGAAAGGCTGGGAAGGAGGAGGAGCTGGAGAGTCGGTCCAGATGCTAAAAAGTCACTGAGGTGACTGAAATCAGAGTCTACTATGTTAGAAACACACAGTCTTTGGCTGTGGAAGATAAGTAGCTCGTCTTTGGAAGGGCTAAGAGAGGCACCTCTGTATCCTCCAGCAAAGGACATTCACTGTTTTGGGATATGGACTGTACAGCATCCAAACATCTACAATAGTAGCAGAGAGCATTCAGTCTGGCACAGAGCAGGACAGAGGAAAGTAAGCTTGGTATCATTCGCAGGAGAGACAGTTGTTATTGTATCGACCATGCACACCTTGACTGCTCACATTTCGTTCTCAGCATTAAAGGTTCCGGAGCGCCCTGGAACCAACAACTGAGGCAGTCAGGCCATCAACCCAAAATGAAAACGATAATGTATCATCCCTCCATCCATCCTTCCTCAGCATCTCCATAGCCTTGGCCCTTTTCCCTTCAAAAGGCTGTTGCAGAACTTAACTGATCTGTCATCCCAATTCCAGGTAGAATATGGAGCCTTCACACCAGGTCATTAAAGAGACCCCTTTGACTTGGGGGTGTTTGCTTTGGCTATGGTCTTTGGATAGTGGGACAGGACAGGTTTCTGCAACTCTGAACAAAGCTTCAAGGACTAGCTCTGAGCATCTGGAATGAAGCCGGCACAATCACTTTTACTGCATCACCACAGCCAAAAAACACAAAGATGGTAAAAGCAGACAGCTGAGGAATGCCCATGGAAAGTAGCAGAGTATGTAGGAGTCTCACCTGGAACACAACACATTCATCTTTACCCTGGGACCTTTCTCTAATGCTAATAAAGATATATTACTGACATTGCTAAGATAGAGAAAGAGGGAAAAAAGCAATGCCTTTTTTCTTTCTTATCAGTTGGGTAAACGATAATTGCCACTGCACAATGAGATTAGGCTCAAATTGGAGTAGCATCATAAACCTATAGTCATAAACCTGTGACCAAACAGAGAATGATAAAGCAAGAATATCTTTCTAAACCAGGCTACAAAACCAGTCTACAGGCTACAAAACCAGTCAATGGCACAGGGTAAGAGATGCTTTGATTGTTCACCCAGTAAAACAATAAAATGGAAGATTATTAGATGGGGAAGCAGCAGCTTTGCTGGGCCACATACCAGTAAACCCTGAAATGTGTCCAGTGTACCTGGCAGTAGAGACAAACTGGGCAACAGGCTTCTTTGGGTTCTCTTCAATGGGTAATGTATTTACCAAAAAATACCATTTAGGGTTAACTGAAACCAGCCATCAGATTAAATAAACGAAGGCAAAAGCACTATTAACATGAAAACATTTTCTTTCATAATTTTCAGAAGAGAGGGTTTCACATTTTTCTTCAAAGCAACTTGCTATAGCCTAAGTCATAATGTTTTTTAAAAGTGAAAAAGCAACCCTACAAATGAATGCTTCGGTTTGGTTGAAAAGATTTTTTTAATGGTTTGGTTTTTCCCTTTTTTATCCCACTGAGGGAAAAAAAAATTGTCCTAGGTCACCCTTACAACTTTTTTTCCCCAGATTTTTCAGTTCAGCCTGCAAACTGAAAAATCACTATGGGCACAGCCTACTTGGGAGTTTACTGTCCCTCTTTGTATTTGAATCAGTCCTAAACCAAAGAAAATGGGAAGTTCATTTCACCAGGTAATACCAACTATAATCAAGCTGTTTAAGCACACAAAAATACACAAAAATACTGACAATAGGAGGAGCTGTGGCTGTTTGCAATGGGCTGAAGATGACCCAGGAGACAGACAAGAGTTCTCCTGGTTCCAAAAAACATTGCCATCTACAAGGTTCCTGCTATACCACCCTGCTTTCATATAAGGCAATTTATAAACTGTGGGTCCCATCCTGCATTTTCAGAGTCTGACTGAGACACGCTGATACCACTTATTTGCAAGCAATGCAAGATCCAGGGAACCCATCCTACCTGCTCTGCAAAGGGTTCTGGGGGTTGGGATTTTTGGGCTGGGGGGAAGCAAGTGGAGAGACACGCAGCATCCTTCCCACTAGCAATATTTGAGCATCACTCATGTGACCTGAAAACAACATCCCTTTTTTTGCAGAGTGTTACGATGTCTGCAGGGACAATACAGTACTGGATAGTTGCATTGCAAGCTCAATAAAATGAAAAGGTCTTACAAGGATCCTTGTTGGGACAGTCATCTGGTTCAAACACAGAAGACAACAAAATCAGGGAAAAAAGCCCACAATAAATTAGGTATCAGCACAGCTTTCTAAATGGTCTACAACAACTACTTGCAAGACAAAAAAAAAAAAAAAAAAAATCACAGTTCTAGTACTTAGAATCTTGTCTTTGTTTTTTAAAAAACAATAATCCACAGGTTTTGCATAAAAATAAACATTTTAAACTACAGCACTATGTTAATTGGATCAACCCGCTTTTTTAATATATATAGTTCTATGTATATTTAAATGTATATTTTTTTCTATGAATATTTTTTAAAGGATTAATGGGAGTCAAATGCATAAAAATAGATATTCTGGGAAAATAAAAAGAGTAATAATAAAGACAACCCCAGTGAAAACCAAAAACAAAAACAAACAAGGCAGTATTCTAAAGCAACAACTCATCCTACTACTATAACTTGTGGAGTCCAGTCCTTCTGTACTGTGAGCAGCTACTCCTAAATACTATTGGGTTTTGTAACAATGATGTAAAAACATAAATTCCTGCATGTTTGGTTTTTTTTTTAATTAAAAAAAAAAAGGTGGGGGGAATTGGGTATATAGGACAGATCTTGATGCCTGTTACATTGCTGTCAATAACATACAAAGATCATCTCCCCAGGCTGAAAGCAGGAGGAACTCCAGCAATTCTTGCATTTATAAGAATATATTTTCTAATCAAAATCTAATCTTTCCCTCTGAACTAAAATTATAAAAAAAAAGAAAATAAAATTAAATAAAACCACACACCAAAACAAAGCCCTCCACTTGTGCTCTACAATGTTTCTCTATTGCCTTACAAATAGTCAAAACAGGTTGGAAAAGTGGGATTTTCAGTAGTGTGTGTGTCAGCATTCCGTGCATCTTTGACAAAATCCAGTTCCTAACAGTTAGGAAGATTATTTCAGAGAGTGATTCTGTCCCTTTACAGCAGGAAGTAACCTCACTGTTAAAAATCCATTCAAGGCAAAAAGATCAGGGGTGAGTGGGGCACATAAGAAATGGTAATAGCCTGACCTGTTTGCCATCTGCATCAGTATTCAAGTAAAGTTTAAAGTACCTTTGTGGGACTTTAGTCTTGGAGGGTCAGACCAGCTTATTTTAACAAGTGTAATACGCACTCTGAAACAGCCTTGTCATCTGTTTGCTTAAACTAAAAGAACTCAAAAACAAATAGAAGCAAAGGAAAAGTATAGGAAAGGTCTCAGCATCAGTATTAGACTGCAGTGTCTTCTTGACACTGCCACTTTGATATTCTTGCCTCCCTTTTTAATGCATTAAAATATTATGAAGTCATGCAGCCATTTTAAATGAGTACTTCAAGAGTCCAGTTTTCATAGAGGTTAATTTGATCACCAGCACAGCACTGGGGAAAGCTGATCTAACAATATTTCGCTTACAGAATTCTTCAAAGGAAAATAAGAAATACAATTCCACAAATAACAATGCCAATTTAAAACACAGAAAGCAAATTGTTTTTTTCCTCAGTGTTTTTTCTCATTCTTTCAGAAAAAAAAAAAAAAAGTCTTCCCTTATCTCTTTCTTTAAAAGCAATGTTACTAACCAGACAGATTTTAGAGCTTTCATCTACACGAATCTAAGCTTTTCTGAAACTGCCTGCAGGGTCTGGGGGGCAGAGAATCCCTTCTCCTACATTTCAGAGCCATCTAAATGGCATCTGCTTGTTTTGTCTTGCATCTTCTCTTGACTTTGTCCATTCCTCTTAGCATTTCACAAACCAGTACTCCTGTGAGAATTCAGGTGTCTGCATTCGAAAGACCTTTGGACGGAGCACAGCTTCACACATTTCATCTTCTCCATGCCCTTTCCATGTAGTTTCTTCTGTCTTCACATATACAAAATCATAGTTTGTGTAATATTGTTTTTAAAGGAAGAAAATAAAATACACGCACACACACATACATTGTATTGGTGAACACTATACACTGAATATTTTTTTTTAACAGCATAACAGAAAGTTTGGCCTACTGTGGGTTGAATACACAGGAAAGGCTGAATTTTTATGGTTGCCATGCAAGCCACCTTCAAGACAAAACAGATGGACCAATCCAAGAGCAAAAGCGGCTTCTACTCTCAAGCCATCAGACAAATACTGCCTTTCCAGGAATTAGACTGACATCTCACCAATTCAGTCAATACAGTATTCAGAGAACCACTGAGTTGCTTCTGCATCAGTCCTCTGAATCCAAATGCTGTTAAAACCAAAGGGGGAAGAGGGTATTTGACTTGCCTTATTATTATTAATATGTATATATTTTGGTAACACTTTGAATTTCAATTTACTTCTGAAACCTTGCCCTTTGAGAAGAACACACCCTTTAAGTTGACTTTTCCCCAGGCTTCTGTTCCTTTAGAATTCTCTCTTCTTTTCATTTCACTGTTCTTTTTTCAATTATCTACCAGAAAACTTGCTTTCTTCCAGCAGAAATGCGTCTGGTGGGCTTGGGCTTTCACTGCACCCGTTCTGTGAAATTTTCTGGGAATACCCCTCGGCACTGGTCAAGTTCCTTGCGCTGGATCCAGTCAGACTCCTTCACACCCATCAGCCATCCTTCGTCCTGGAGGGGAAGACAGATCAGATGCTGAGGGACAGATGTGAGCAGGGACTTTTCTTACAGAGTGCAGGCCAAGGAGGTGTCAAGGCATTATGAAAGCCATGCTAATATTTGGCTTGGAGACAATTCAGGAAGAGAATGGGGGAAAAGTAAAAAATGCTTTCATTCCTTTTAAACAGGGAAAAAGCTACTTCCCAACAAAGTTTGTACCAAAGCTGCTATCTGACTGAGACTGCCTAGAAACAGTGAAATTGTAAACAATTAGCAATGTCATTATTTACACCCATGGAAGAAGGAGAGATTCTGTCAAAGAAAGACACTACAGCTACAGGATGCAAATCACCTATCTTACCTTTCACAATCTACACATGGGGAATGTGCCATTCTCCATACTCATAAAAGAGATGGGCACCTCCACAGGGCAACCCACCCCATTCACCTTGAGCACAGGTCTTCGGAACGGCTGAATCACTCCCTGGAGATGCTCATTCCCTGTTCTAGTCAGGGCTCCTGGATGGTTAGCATTTCTGAGAGGTGGTACAGGCAAAATGAGTCTTGTTTGCTATGCTGAAATTCTGGACTGTGAGAATGAGGAGCGAAACCCATCTTCCCAAAACCCAGCAATCTGTTGGGGTTGATGCAAGGTAAAGTTGGCAAAACTCCTAAATTTCCAAAACAAAAACATCTATAAATACGGCTGAAGAATTTTCAGTGAGGCACGTGGAGTCCTGCTTGGTAGAACCTGCTCAGGTGAGAACCAGCCTTCCCACCCTCTGCCTTCAGGGTGTCTAGCATTGAGATTTCTATTCCGTTGAAAGCACATGAGGAAGACAAGATACTCAAGGTGAGAAGGCTGCACTGCTTGCAGCTCATGTGTGCAACCACCCTATTCTCTGCATGCCTTGGAGCTGCCACCCCTGAAGTTTCCCTTCAGCACGCAAATATACCAACTTGTGAGTCATTTGCAGTGGGGTAGCCTACAGGTTAAGACTGCAGCATGAGGCAAGAGAGCTGCATGGGGGACCACTGCCTGCAAACTCAGCCAGCTGCTGTGCATCCACTCCTCTGGGCAAAGCATGCACCAGGCTTATTTAAAGGTATGTTATCACATTCAACTACATAACCTGGCAGGTCAGAAAAGCTCAGACAATCAGATGGTCTAAGCGGTGGGGAAATGGGGTATGTACGCATGTGGCTAACACAGTTTTTCTGACGCTTCTGCTCTCCTGTAACTGTTAAGAGTTACCTGGGCATTTACTCATGGCGAAGCAACACCTCTCTTAAAACATGTTTTTAAAAACATACCTGCAAGTGCAGGAGCAATGCAGCCCTCACTAGGGGTGATCCATGGGGCACATATTGCCTTCCACTGCCATTTTACAGATTTTGCCCTCTTGCTCTGTTTTCTGCACATTTCATGTGTCAGCAGCTCAGACCAGCCATGGTATCTAAGTTCCCTGCTCCTTGTACGCTGTATTGGATGTCTGCAGGCTCAGTTAGCCCTTGTGACTACCTTAGATTTGAGCTTTCCGGAGATGCCACAGGAATGGCTTGAGATGGGAGTGCATCTGCAGCAGCCAGCTGCAGGGGCTGCAGAATGACTGACATGCCATAAATCAGGAAGACAAACAACTAAGCAGAACACACTGGGCCCAAGTGTCTGGAAGGCAGCTTCCAACTCACAGCACAGCGAGTACAAAAGCTCATCCATTTGCACAAAGCATCTGTGCCATACAGCATGCATCATTCCTATTGCATCCTGCTAGAAGGGTCTCTTCAGCTGCAGGGATTATACACAAAGACCCAGACTGATCCTTTCAATTTTGAAACATGTCACATGAAGTGCCAACTTAGAAGCAGTGCTGCCCTCAACTCCTTCTTCAGTCAAGAGAGATGAATCCAGGCCTGGCTGATGTACCTACAAACTGACACCTAAGCTGCAAGACTGGGACATGGCTCACAATCTATTACCCTAAGCTTCCTCCACTCACGTGCACGGTTCATGCACATGTTAACAGCTATCATTTTCTGGCTGGGTATGGTTAAGGTTAGGGAAATGAGCTGTAGGACAGGATACACTGTAGGAGGGTTAGAGGGCTTCCGTGCAGCTACAGCATCATGTTAGCAACACTCAGAGCTCACCCTCTGTAGCTTGGCGAGTCTTGAGTTCATGGCTGTTGCACCCACATCCAGCTAGAGTGCAAACATAGGGCGTTGAAAACCTCTGCTCCACAAATGCCATCTCCTACCACAGAAACTAGGGGAGTTGCCACTCATTTCCAAACCAGAAAGCTTTCTGAGAAAGGAATGCTCACAAATGCTTGTGCCGAGCAGACCTACTCAGTGAACAGTTTTGTCTCCAGAAGAAATCACTGCCTCTCCCCCATAAAACCCTTCCTCCCAGAGCACCTAGCTCTGTGGGAACTGCTGGCACATTATAGCTCCCATTTCACAAGCAACAGCAAGATCTGCCTTCATAATTCAAAGCCAGTAGGTGAACCACAAAGAGGATCTCCTGTGACCAGTACCATCACTTTCCCTCTACACCTTGTAGAATCTAGATGTTGTCAGGGCTTGGCCAAACCCAAAGAGCTGGTGACTACTGAATCAATTTGGAGAATTCACTTCCTTTTCTGAACAAAAAGCTAGAGACATGAGCATGAATTAGCCGAAGTGATAAAACTGCTGCAGACTTTATCAGCTGGAAGCCCTCAAACACAGCAAGTGAGAAGGATTTACTCAAGGCATCTAGAAATAGCTTAAAGAAAAACATCACCATTTAAATTCAGGCCAGAGATGGACCATGAGACTGTACTCTGGCGCTAAGCAACCTGCTCCAGCGCTTGATTCTGCTGCCATCTCCTGACCAAACACTCTGCTTCTGAAACAGCCACTGTTATGCTGAAGTTATGAGGCACCATCCATAGCAAGCTGCTTTCTCAGAGCCCCAGCATTTCTCAAAAAGGGAGAAAATATCATCATAAACTGTGGGTCACTCCTGCCAATACCACAGTCTGCACTGCAGTAGTCACAGGGAATGTATCAAGTTTAGGAGCAGTGAGGAGGCAAAACGTGAGCTCTGTTTGGCTCCCTGATCAAGAAAGCCGTTCTATCGGCTCTAATGTCTGACAGAGACAGGAAGCCATGGCTATTTTACATGCTTTATGCAGGATAATGTCTCCACTTTCCAGTAACAAGCAGAGTCCTCCCTTCCGTAGCAGGAAGCCAATCTCAAGCTCAAGGACAACCTGCCCTCACACAAGCTCCCAGCCACAAACTGATGGCTCTGCATCCAGCCAGATGACTGTTAGTGGAGGAAGAAGCAGCTTTGGAAATCCCCCTGGCTCCTCCTGACCCAGGCTCACAGCCTGTCTTTCCCACTCACCTGTTCCTCAGGGTTCTCAAAAGGAATCACAAGCACCACATCCCCAGCCTTCAGCTGCAGCTCATCGCTGTCGGTGGCTGTGTAATCATGCATGGCCTGGACCTATGAGGAGAGGAGAGAAAAGCTTGGGTGAGGGCCAGCCTTCTCTCACAGAGCTTTGTAATAGGTGACAGGCTTTTTACTTCATTGGATAATTCAGGTTGGAAGGCACCTTTGGAGGCTAACAACATGCTGCTCAAGGCAGGTCAAGCCTGGATCACAAATGCCACAGCTATGGGAATAACCACTTCCTTAACCTGATGGCTACATGCTCATTCATACAGCCTGGCATGCAGCTCACCTTCGCCACAAGGGCACCCTGGTGTGTCTCACTCAACATGCTATGCATCAGCACTTCCCCGTCCTTCCTTAGGAGGGTTGAATTCCCACGGTAATGGCCTAAAAACCTCACAGGGAAGAAAACCTGCATTCACTTGAATGGTGCCTTCTTTTGTTTCTACCAGCTGTGATGCAAGAGTATTATTATAGCCTCCCATGTGTCAGAGCAAGCAGAGAGAGGAAACATAGAGAACATAATCAGTCTGCATCTTCACCACCAGAGACAGAAATAACTGTGGCAGAGAGAAGGAGGGATTTTGCTATACAGCACAGCCAGATGTTTAGACACCAATGCTCTTACTACAGTCCTTTGAAGCATCTGGAACTGCACAAAGCTGGGCTGCTGGAGAGGAATGTGTATCTCTCCTTCAACTTCCTTCCTCCCTTTTAATGTGGCACGGTCCATGGCCATGCTGAGTGAAAGTGGTTGATTCATTACAGGAAAAAAAAAAAAACTAGGAACTCTGTGCCGCACCACCATGCACTCACCTTGAATAGAAAACCTGGGGGCATGTCAGCTCTTTCAGATGAAGCTCCTTCCACAGTGCCATTGACGGTAGCAGGGAAAGTTTCCACAACAACAGCAGGCAGAGAGCTCTGGCAGGCAGCAACAGCCAAGGAAGAATCAAAAAAACCATTAAGAAAAGAGAATCCATCCACACCTGCAGCACCAAGTCCACCCTGGCAGATCCACACCCCAAATCCACCCATGGCTTAGGGAGTTTTCCCAGCACATCAGTCAGTGACAAAACACTCCAAAGGATGGCAGAGGCAGCAGTGAGAAAATAGGAGAGGTGAGCATGTTTTCCTTTGCCTAAGGCAGCAGAAGGGCAGAGCGGATTTGAGAGTTTTTTTCCGGGACTATAATGCCCAGCTATTCCCATTTGCTGCAGTCACGACACAGTTCTTGTGAAGTCCTCAATGTGACAGCCAATAGGAACTCAAGTGGCCATGAGATGGGACCTACTCCAGACCCCTAAAAATGTGGAAGTGTCAGGAAAAAAAAAAAAAAGGAGCCCTGGATATTCAGGTGACATCGGCAGAGCCCAGAGAACAGAGTAGGTAAACTTAAAGGCAAGCAAAGAGGATTCCAACAGACAATGCATGCGTAGGACAGCTTGGGCTGTGGGCTGGCTTCACAACATGGGTGAAGGGGCAGTTTCTTTTGTGCATCTTCCAGCATAGCATTTCACAGATAAAATGCAAAGGCTAAGTCTGGGTTCTGAATAACAGCATTGTAACTGCTGGGGTGGGAGGGATGTTTTTTTTCAAGCAGTCACATGTCTTTTCCCAGCTCAGCCTCATGCATCTGCTGTATGACAAAGGGATGTGATAGAGAAAAGGAATTGCTGTCCCTTGAGGTGCTTACCGATCCTGAATCAGCTTCAGTTTTAGATGGTTCAGCTCCAGCTGCTGCTTCTGATCCAGCTGCTTCAGCTCCGGCATGGGCTGCTTCTGCAGGCTGCAATACAAAAGTCATCCAGGTGGAAAGTTACGCTCATTACAACTACGAGCGAGTACAGAAAAGTGTAGCTCAGGCTGTCCAAGTGCTCTATGCTGTTGACTGCTGCCATCTGCTGACAAATAGGTGAGAAACCTCAGCGTCTTGCTAGGCATCTGTCTCCCTCTTGCTCTGCCACCCAGTGAAATCACAGTAAAGCCTGCATTCCCCCACTTCAGCCATGCAGCAGGCAGTACTCCAGAAGAAATCGAAAAATCCTGTGCTTATTTTTTTTCTCACCATCTAAATTGCAGATCTACCTTACACAGTATCTATTATTATATATACACTGCCCATTTATATGTGAATACAAGTCCACTTGCATGCCAAGGAACGAGGCTTTCTCAATAGCCCACTTCAAGGATCAACAATCAAGGAACATTTAAACCTTTGCATACTTTTAGAAACAAAAGAACATAGAAATTTCCACATATGGAAATTAGTCTGGACCCAGCATGGACATTAGCACTGAATCAAACTGAACTGAAAACTGTGTTTTCACCCAATTTTATTTTGGATAGACCCAAAGAGTCACGAATTTGGATTCTGTTGTGAATATTCTATTACTAAGAATTTGCTGTGAATATTCCACATGGCATGCGCATGCATTTGTGTTGGTGGAGAGAGGTGCATTTTTCTAATGCAAAAAAGCTGCCACCACCAGGAAGAAATATTCAGCATCACCTACAAATCACAGACTGACACAGACCATTCTAGGAAGCCCAGGGACAGGAGATTCTGTGTACAAAAATCCAGCCAAACACCTCTGATACACTTCCAGTGGTTCAAGTCTTTATTCTCCTTCACTGAAGTCAAGCAAACTCTGTTTTAACACAAAACTAAAGATATTCATTTGCCCCTTTCAGAAACTGCAGCAACACAGAAAATAACTTGGATCTGGTAGCATCAGTGCTGCAGATCAGCCCCTTGGGAGACTGGCCAAGCAGCACCTGGGAAGACTCCTGACAAGAATCTCAGGGATCTAATATGCAGCCCATCATGGCCAGTCTATATCCATTTGTTCTCTATACCTGACAGCACACATGCCTCTTTGCAAAATCTAACCAGACACCCACTTCATATTTGCACAATAGATCACTATAGAGAGATTTACCATTTTTAATACGTGTGAATAAACCAGCTTTAGCATGCCTTCATGCTTCATACACTTGGTAAACACATGTTGATCTGGTTTCAGCTGGGATAAGAGTTAATTTTTGTCCTAGTATCTGGTATAGAGGTGTGTTTTGGATTTAGGATGAGAGTAATGCTGAAGACACACTGGTGTTGCTAAGCAGTGTTTGTATAGGGTCAAGGCCTTTTGTGCCTCTCACACCACCCCACCAGCAAGCACAAGAAACTGAGAGGCAACACAGCCGGGACAGCTGACCCCAACTGACCCAAGGGATATTCCATACCATTATATTCCATGTAACATACAAACTTTGGGGAAAGCTGGCTAGCAGTCCTACTCGGGAAAATGCTGGACATCAGTCAGTTGGTAGTAAGCAATAGTTTTTCATTTGCATCACTTGTTTCTCTTGGGTTTTATTCCACTTTATGTTATTTTGCTTTTCATTACAATTTTAAAAATTATTATTCTCATTATTATTTTAATTATTAAACTGTTCTGATCTCAACCCAGGAATTTTCTTACTTTTACCCTTCTATTTCTCTCCCCCATCCCACCAGGGCAGGGTAAAGGAGTGAGAGGACAGCTATGTGGTGCTTAGTAGCTGGGGTTAAACCACAACACACATACCCTTGAATACAACCACGTGAAAAACTAGGCATTGTCCAGATCTCTTAATACTGCAGTTCTCATAGTTCTAACCCTACAAAAGCTCAGTGAAAAGCAACAACCATGGTAACCCTTAACTCTATATCCATCTGGCTACTAGCCATGCACTGGCTCAATGCTCTAAGTATTTTTCTAATAACAGCAGTAACATAGACAAAATAAATTCCTGATTTAACAAAAAGCCATTATTTTACCTTTAGCTGTTCCAGTGGTGCCATTTAACACATGCTTGCCTCTCCTATCACACCCTTCCTTATGTCTCCCCATCGCCATGTCCACAGGCCTATATTGCCAGAGAATATGATGAACAGCAGAGCTATTCCCATCCTGCAGAGAATTCCCACAGCAGCTTTGGTACTGCTAAGGTAAACGTATGCATATGAAATACTATAAAGGCTTCTCCTGTTTAATTGCATTCATTCCGAAGTTGCTTTTTATTTGGATTCCAGGAGAACTAGAACCTGGACAGATGCCAGCCCAACTCTATCTGGCCCAACATGACTTTTATGTGGACAAGTAAAAAGGAGATCAATGTGAGCTTCCTTTTTAAAATCAGCTAATTTGCAAGAATGATGAACCTAAATTAATCCCCTAGAATGCAATAAAGGGTGTTTTCATGTCAGCTACTTATTTTTCTATTTTGTGTACCTATGGGCATCTCAAGGCCTACAAAAGCATTCAGAGTCTTGGAAAGATGCTACAGGGACAAGAGGAAGAACTTCTCACTGCTATTGCCAGGTTTGAAAGCTTTGCTTATTCCAACAGCAGCATCTTACACACTAAATGCAACTTTCCTAGTCTGCAGAACTAAGCAAGTTCTGCTGCATCCAAGATTCTATGCAGTTATTAACCTCACAGCATATGGGACTATGTAACCATGCAACAGGCCTCCTCTCATCAACAGCTAAGAACAACATTAGAGCAAAACCACTTCAGTAGACTTGAAGAGCAAAAGGATTCCCCGGCTATAAGGAGCTCTGCTCTTTAGCCAGATATAATATGCCAAGGTGATAACTGGCACAGTGGGAATATGTTGTCGGGTAACATTCTCTAGTTGATTAAATTGTTCTTTGAGTGACATCACTTTCCAGGGTGGAAAAAAATAATAACCCAGAACACTTTTTATGCCCAGACTGTAAGCACAGCTTAATCAGCTGCAGTCATACCCCACCCCTGCCCATCCACTTGAAAGGCATAAGATGCTTCCTTGCAAAAACACAGACTTCTTTTCATTCTTACTAAGACAGACTGACAATGCACATACAGGGGAATGACAGATGTTAAACACTGATGTCTGATAAGACAGACAAAGGAAACCTCTTTCTGGACACGACCCAAACTCACATGAAGGAGAGCACACTGGCCACAGAGAATCTTCAGGCCAGGCTCTCAGCTAGGGTTAACTCATGTCTTCCCAGGTACAGACTCTACGTGGTGATGTGGCCCTTAAGAATGAAAGGGTTGGCAGGACTTGCTGATTGGCAAGATTCCCCAGCATAAGCCAAGGACAAGTGCTTACATCTACACCATGGTGTTGCCAGCTCATGTAGCAGGTCTGAATACCCAAGAGTTGTCTGTCCACACAGCTGGCTGTTTGTCCAGAGGGGCTCAAAAGTTGTGCTCAAAATATCTCCCAATGGGCTGATCTACAGCAATCTGAAACCTTCCCAGGCCCGATATATCTAGAGGGTATAAATGAGCATTTGGCTGTGGTACAGATGCAAAGCACATGTAGGGTCACTCTTGTCAGCAAGCTCCAAAACTGAGGCTGAGGCAGATGCCAGGTAAGTCTTGGGCCTGTACTTAACTTTCAGTGTAGACATAGGCTGAGCTGATTCACATCGGCCTTTACAGCAATGATGGTCAATACATAGCAAACACCACAGATAATTCCAAACATGTATGTATACCCAATGGTACAGGCAGTAAGGATGAGGGGCAGCTGAGGCATTTATGCATTGCACATGAGACCAACAGGTAACACTGGGGAGTGGAGGGTGAAGATGATGCCACAGTGGGACTAAGTTTGAGAACATCATAGCATCATGCTAAAGGAAAGATGAGTGAGTTAGCAGGGAAAAGCAATGGATTTGTGTGCTGGTGGAAACTTAAAGTTTCAGAGTGTCAGACCTGACTTGCAAATATGCGGCTGCCCTTGAGGCTTCATGGAAAGTGCAAAAGTGGTTCCAGCAGCACATAGAGCAACTTCAGTTTGGGGTGTGCAGAAAGAAAAAGCAGCAATGCAGACAGGTATGATGTCTGGCACACGGCACATGCACAGTAAACAATGAGATGAAAGCCATATGAAGTTCTTACCTCCCATAAATCCCAAGGTAAAGACTAAGCATGTCAAAGAGCAACAAAAATAAAACATATTTATATGTGATTATTTCAGTGAATACAAACATTACAGATGCTGATCAGACTGAAGCAGACATACACATTCAACAGTATTTATCCCTGCATGTTTCAAAAATATTCTTTTAGTACCTGAATTTACACACCCTTCTGCACTGCATATTCAAATGTAAGTACCAACGCATTTGAGTAAGGGTGGTTTTCTCCCTCTGGTATGAAGTGAGACAGTCAAGCCACATTCAGTTATCAGTGGCAGACCATATCGCTAGAAAAGAAACAAACCCAAGCACCTCATGAGTTTGTGGTCTATCAGGGTTAAATATGCTCCTGTATATCCACACCCAATAGCATCAGTGTGATCTCAGAACAATTTCAACTAGTGTCTTTGGACAGTAGTGAAATATCTTAGCCTCTTTTGCCACAGTGCCGACCTTACAGGAAATAGATTTGCTTTCAAGACAATGTGGCTTTTGATAGGTTTTCTGCTGTAGTTAGCACTAGAAAGTATTGATTTAAGACTCTTTCTTTTAATGACTTCTGAAGCTAAAAATAGATACATTAAAACTCCAAATATGCTATTGCTGAGCAGTTTAGCAGTTTTGAAAAACCTACTCAATGTCTAATATTTGTTTCTTCCTGGAAGGGTAAGAAATAATTCTATTTTAAGTTAAATTTATACTCACTTCCTGCACCAGTTTACCCAATTATAAAAACAAAAAAACACCAAATAACCCAATAAATATTTTAAAAGAAAAAAGAAGTTTATCCTGGCATGCAGCTTGTTCTATCAGACAAGGAGGCACAAAAATCTGCCCACTTAAAGGTCCAGAAAGTGGTTGTTTGCCATAGTGGTGTATATCAAACTAAGATACTAACTTGCAGATGCACTATTTTAATTTAGAAGAATCAAATGTTTAATGTTTGATCTCTCTAATACGAGAGGTCTTATTGCTACAAAAATGTGTGTCAACACAGGCCTACCTGACATGATGACACTGCACTGCAGAAATACTGTAAACATCCCAATTATGTTTATTACAAATTTTAATGGCAACCACAGGCAAAAAATTACCATCCAATACATATGAAATGGAAAGTCTCAGTGAAGACAACAGCCAAATTCAGGATGTGCTTCAAAGCCTCCAGCTGTTTAGACATAAAATGAAGCACAGTCCACCTGCCTCTGAGAGTGGATAGGATGAGGTAGAGGCAAGACCAGAATTAGGCATCTTCCTTTTTGATACTGCACTGCACAGCACTATGGTCAGGGAAGAAGCTGCTACGTTATATCCAGAAAAAGAAAGGCTTCACATCATTTGAATATCCATCTACAGCTTTATTCACCTTAAGTAACTGCAGATTATCAGAGTGTCCATTTATTAAAAATCCCTTTGAGAGCAATTCATAGCAGGAGCACAGAACAGAGGCTGAATTCCCACCCACAGAGTAACAGTTTAAATCCATATAGCATACAGAGGATGCTAATTCAGGGAGGGACATACACGGTTTCAACACGTTGTCAATCAATAGATCATCAGAGCAAAGGACAAGCATCCCACAAACACCTAGTGCCAGACTTTGGCCAGGATAGTAGCCACTTGATTCTCTCTGGACTTACACATCCAGTAGAGAAGACCAAGGTACCCATCTGCAAGGCACAGGTCTGGGCACCCAGCCCAGCCGCCCACAGCCCAGGTCCATATTATCGTTCACAGAGGTGCAGGTCATGCCACACTTGGCAACAAGTTGGTTATGAAGAGAGAAGGAACAGTGATATGAACCAACCTGGGAGGCAGGTGTGGGGGTCTTCCCCACAGTGGCATCTGGTTTAATGGGATCAAAATCCAGATCCAACAGGCTGGCTCCCTCCTGGAAGGGCCCAGGGGCATCAAACTTGGCAGCAAGTGAGGAAGAAAAGCAGTATGAGCATTAGACATGCACACACACACACACAGAGTAGAGGGAGTGTATGTGATATCCAGGAGCTAAGGCTGCAAGCGCAGAAGACATGGTGGCACTGCAAACACCTGATGTGACTCCTGACTGCTTGGTGCCTATAATCACAGCAGTTCACATGGGTGCTACTGGAAACCAAGCCCGAGTCTTTTCCACAGGACTCATTCACCTTCTACCTGGCAAATGAGCTGACATGGTATAAGTACCTGAGCTGCTGTCATCAAAAGGATCATCGCCATGATTCAGAATGGCTTCTCTTCTATTTTATATCTATTCCCCATGGCTCATCCAGCTGCTTCTGTACTGAAGGCCCAGGACAGACTCCCTCAGCCACATACAGAACAGCTGCCACCCATACAACTTATCTCAGGAACATGGATCCAGGCAGAAAACCACTCAAACTGCTGAAAAGCCAGTCTGAGACCTCAGAGCTAACTCCCAAAGCTCCTAACTCCCTCCTGCCTTCCAAGACAGAGACACAGAATATGGCAACTCATTCAAGCTAAGGTATTTGAACCATGCCCCAGTCCAAAAATGTTTTCAACGGTTCCCATTTCTGGGCATCCCAGAAACATGCACACAAGTCTTCTAGCAAAGCATAATTTGAGAAGCTTTGCTCATCTCTTCAAAGTCAGCAGAATAACTGTGATTAGCACTCCAGCTAAAGACAGGACATTCACTGATTACCATTAATAAAACAGTCACTAGAAAAGACATGAGTCACTAGTATTCAAAAACAAACTATCACTTTTGGGGGTTAGATTTAACCTAATCACTACAAGTCACTCCCCTCTACTCAATGTCAACGGAAGCTACTCTGTCCAGGAAGTCCAGGAAGATCTGCCCATTTCCACTGACCTCCCAGATCACTGGCCGTACTGCTTCAGCTACCTTTCCAACATCACACAGAGTGTGGCAGGTCAGTCTGCAGTTATATCACAGTCCTACAATGGAAATCAACTCCTAGAAAGTAGACCAAGACACAACTTAAGAGAAATTCCTCTGAATACAAACCACACCACCATAATTTTCATCTCCTCTGGTTTCTTCTTACTCCAATTCTCTTCTGTATTTTCCCCTCCCTTATGAACACCTCTTTTTGAGATCCACAGGAATGAGGACAGGGAACCAATCTCTCCCATCTTACAATAATAAACCCTGACCATATGCAAAACCAACTGGCATTCTAGTCCACTCCTCCACCACATCCAGGCCACCCATCAGAGAGGCTCCAACACCAATCTTCAGTTTTGTTTAGTAGTGAGACATCAAAGGCTCCAATCATGGAACATTTCTACCTGACAATCAAGACTTACATGCAAGGGCTAGCACACTTTACCCAGATCTCCAGAACTCATTGGAGCTAAAACATCCAATAGGAATGGCCCCGGGCCACGCACTGAACACTAGTGCCTGTTGGGTGCTTCAGTGAATATTGTTCTGGCAACCAGAGTCTTCTCTGAGACCCCCATCTGACTGAAAGTCATAGCAGTTCCCATCCTGGGTCAGAGCACTGACCAGGTGCAGAACAGTATGTCTGAGAAAAGGCTGGCATTCACATGGAAATACATAATACAAACCATGGGGCAGACAGAGCTGTCTGTTATGATACAGGATATAAGGATACATAGAAAAGATAAAGAGTTGCTCAACTGCCTGTGGTCCCCAACTTCCAACACTGCTGTCAAATCATCTTTCTGCTATGCAAGCTTTATTTACTGCAATGCAAACTCTGACACAGAGTTCCTTCCCTCCCCACTCTACCTCTGCTCTTCAGCAGCTGGGTGGAAGGTGGCAAGACAGAGGCAATGGAGCAGCATGATGCAAGAAGAGTTAGAGAATGAGTCACAGATGAGCATCTATAGAAACATTACTTGTGTTTTAACAAGCGTTTAGGCAAAAAAAAAAATATATATATACATGTGCTTATATATATTTAAAAAAAAAAAAGAAAAAGAGTAGATGCAGGTATCTCATGATACAGCCAGAAATCTGGTCAGGCTCCTATATATGTAAGGACTTCCATTTTCCTAGATCCAACACAGAATTCCCTACCTGGGCATCCTCTCTTGCAGTGATGAAAACCAGAAGGAAAATACATAATTTGAAAATGGTTTTCCTTTTGGTGGGCTTCAAAAGGTGCCACAAGAGAAGAATATTCTGATGGGAACCACTGGGTGGGGAAGGGTGACAGACCATCTTCAGCACTCCTAAATTCACAGCGGACACAGCCCTGCTCATCTAAACTGGAGGTACCTATTCTCTGCAATGAATTTCACATAATTCATGTTGGCCTTCCCTAGGCAGGTGAAGGCTTTAAACCACAAAACTCGTGTATGAAGGCACAGAGAGCACAAAACTGCCTTCTCTCAGAACTAGCAGGTGCCAGGGTCAGCACTTGGGGATGTAAAAGAGCAGAAAACAGATGCTTCATCCACACCCAGGATCAGTGGGTCTGGAGAAAGCATAATGTGGGATATGAGGAGAGCCATACTCCATGTCATTGCTACTGAACAATTGCAGCATTTACTTTCTGGCATCTTCACCAGTTTATTTCTCTTGTTTCTTCAATGAACAAAAGTTCTCAAAGGGCAACGTGTTAGCCAAAGCTGCCTTCCAGCCACCCTTTCCTCTAAGTTAGCCTCCCTTTCCCTTTGAGGTCCAATGTTGATAATGCCTTCCTCCTTCACCTGACCAGGTTTCGTGGCTTGACACCTCCAAAGAGAAGAAAGATCGAAAAGAAAAGTTCAGAGGCAGAGAAATATAAGGCAGGGCATAGCAGCTAACCTGCGAAGGGGTTGTCACACTTATCTCGGGGACAAAATTGTCATCAAACAGACTGATGATGTTCTCCTGCTTGATCTCCTTGGAGGGGGTGACTTTTGGAGGCGGAGGCACCGGAGGCCCTTTCCTCAACTGCATGCAAGTGAGCACACGGCCACAGCACAGATGGCGACACCCAAAAAAACGAGAGACAGGAACCAGGTTAGCCACAAAAACTGAAGGTGGGGGAAATCACAACCACAGGCACAGAGCAGGGTCCAATCAACTCCATCTGAAGAGAGAGGGAGGGAGGGTGAAGGGCTTAATTGAAACAAAACAAAACAAAACAAAAAAAACAACCAAAAACAAACAACCACACACCTCCAGAGAAGGTTTGGCATCATTAGTTACACTTCAGCTGTGGGCTGAAGTTTCCCTCTGCAGAGGAGAAGCGTAACATAATTAATATGCATTGGCGGTACATGCATACATAATTAAAGCATGTGCAACCTTCAAAAGAACCACTGGGAAGGGAGCAGATCAATTAGTGAGAACAAAATTCAATAGACCAGGCCAGTACTGCCTCCCTTTACCATACTTACCATACCTAAAAGAATGAGATCAGACTCAGTTTGTCCTATTATCTGTAGGTGACCAGTACTGGTTCTGTGGTGCACTTGTTATGAGCGTACCTTAAGGTCTGAAGGAACTCTGATAGCTTCTTACCACTTCTTAGCTTTAGGCAATAACAATTCAGACTCCTGAGAAGCCATGACTGCTGGAGGCCCAACTCTGCTCTCAGTTTCACCAATGAGCATTGACACTAATGAAGTCAGGTTTCCCAAATGGAGATCCCAGAGAAAGCATAACAAAGTCTGACCCTGCAACTCTAACACACCCTAATACCCACTCAGACTCAGCCTGACACTGCATCCTGCATCCACAACCCTATGGGAGGCTGCAGTAAACCCTCCCTACATGAACCCATCCTTATCTTTTTCACATTTTCTTGTGTGCAAGCCTTCAGTGATCATTTCTAGAGCAAATCAAACTTTGAGAGGCTGCTACTGTGTTGGAACAAATCAGCCATTCAAGTTCCCAGCACCACAGCAATACTCAGCAATGACAATGCTTTCCATTTACAGTGATATTTTACAGTTACTTGATCTTCTCATCATACCTAGGATCCCAAGGCAGCAAGACTCTGCCAGTAAGCACTCAGTATATCAGTGTGAGGCCCAGATCTGAAACACAAGAATCCCCAACTCCTAGTACCATGTTCACATTCTTCCAGAATAAAACTGAGTTCTACAAGACATTTATTCAGATTGCTAAGGACATGCCTAGTTTTCTACTGGGTTCACCTACTTTACAGAGTGTGAGTATGCAAACACACCTTTTCCACTAAATAGATGGCATGGGGAAATAATAAAAGTATTGTTTTCACTTCCAGCTTCTCACTGTTTGCAGAAGGTGGTGTGTCCATATTCCCCAAGAACAACCACTGCCTGAAAATCCCCTGCTTGACAGTTGCAAGAAGGGACCAGAAATGTCAGGGAAAAGCTATCACCTGCAGAGCCACCATCTGCAGAAATGGGAAGCTCCTATTACAAACTCTACAAAGAGGTCCTGACACTTCAGCTATTTATTTCTCAAAAATAGTCAGTCTCCTTCCTTCCAATGCACTAGCATCTTGAAGACCACCACTTCCACAGCGTCCAGCATTACTTCCAACAGCAGTCTAAAACCACATTTCAAAGACAACAGGATTGAATATTGATGTCGGGTTGCACCCTGGAAATTCATCAAGCACAAACGACTTTGCCACCTAGAAGAAAAGAAACCCTCTAAATTCTTTCTGCTGACTTGGATCCCGAAAAGCTTCACCATTCTAAATTCAGCTTAGTTGCACTGGTTTCAAAGTGTCATTGCAGCATTTCAGTGGTGTAAATGAGAGCAGAAGTCTGACCTTTCAAATTTCGCAGACCCCTGAAGTCTCTGTCATCATTACTCAGTGTAGAGACCTGATAGCAATCACTTCTTCCAAAAGACAGAAATAAGCTGGTTTTGAGAATTAAAGAACAGTAAGAGTGAATATGGTTTTGGCATAGGGAACAATTCAAAATTTAGTATTTATTAGATTTCTCTTGTTTTGCTGTCTTTCTCTCCACAGCTTTTGCATTAGTATTTCAGACTGTGGAGGCCAGAGAACTGTACTTGCTTGTTGCTTTTTTTTCCACCCTCCTCCAGAGGGTGAGGCCCCTAGTTTCTCTAGGATGACCCTTGAACAAATCACTTACTCATTGACCAAAAGTAGTAACACCTGTGATGATTTTGAGTATTAGCCTGAAGATTTCAGTCAGAACTGTTGAGAGAGTAGACACTTGTGCTTTCCAACTGGCTGGCAAGATGACACACACTTGGTTTCTAGTCTTTATCCATACAGGTACCAAGCTTAGGTCTCGGTGTGAAACCCTTGTCCTTGTCTTCCCTCCCTCTAGAGCCGGCTCCATCTCTTAGCACCTAATACGAATACGGAGTGGAGTTCTTGCTCTTCACTGTAGTGAGGCTCGGAAGAATGAATTAAATACAGGTTGGGAAAGAGCTGCCAGACGGTGGCAGCATAAGCTGCAAATATCGTTTCAGACTTGCCTCTAGCCCATCTAGGGTTCCAGCCAGAGCTGCACTGGAATATCCTGCTTGCTCGACATGGGGTGCCTCCAGCCCCATTCCTGTGGGCAGGAAGGCAGCAAGCGAATGAGAAAGTACTTGTAGGCTAGCAAAAACAAGGCTTATGTGTACTATTTATAGCAAAGGGAAGAAGCCAAACTCGGCAAGACAAGTCCACAGGCAGGGCAAGTGAAGCCTGCAGTGAACAGCTCAATTAGACTGTAGGATTTCTTATTCCAAATTTCAGTCAAGTTATGCCAATCTCTGAAAAAAAACAGGAAGGCAATTCTGGATGCAATATCCTCTCTCTCTCATACGCACACCCTACTCCAAGGTCCTAGCCAGGGTGGTGGCAAAGCTGCTCTTGGCAGTGCAATGCTGAGCAGTACAGACACCCTGGATGGCAGACACCCACACACCTTTTTGCCAATGTAGAAACATCCCCTTTTTGTCCCTAGATAATCCTGAAAAATCAAAAATGCAGTGGAGAGGAAAATGTCATGAGGGGCTATCCAAAAACAGGAGACAGGCTGCACCTCAGGCCTGGATTTGGAATCAATTGCTACATATAACAACAGCAAGGAAGTTCTGGATTGTACCTGTCTCTTTTCAGAAGCAATGGGTTTTCTCTCACCAGCTTGGCCAGAACCCCTCTCAGCTTTAATTCTTCCTGGAAGACTATTCCCTTGCGTCCCACTTACTGAAATGCAAGGATTGGCAACAGACATAAATATGGCATAGTTACTACTTTTCCCTGCTGAGTTTTTTCCCCACTTTGCAAAGGAGGAATATAGAAGAGTGGAAAGAGGAAGCAAATGTTTTTTATATGCTGAGTATTAGGAACTACATCTGCTATTTTAAACACACCACTGGGTATCTCCCATATAAGGAGAGGACCAACAAAGGCCACGTGGAAGGTATCGCTCCATATAATGGACAGCTTTCTTTCTGGTACCCACCTAACCTGTTTATAGCATAATTCCTTTATTTTTAGCATAATACTTTATCTTGGGATTAAAATAAAACACCATGTAAAGTACAGATGTTCTCCTTATCAATATTAATATTTCTTCTTTGAACATTCCTCAGTAACGGAAGTTCTTGAGAAGAAACTGGACCATTGAATTCCACAGGTCGATTAAAATGTAGAGAACAAACTTCCTTGTCTAGCTACAACTCTATCCTCCTTGGATCTTCTTGACCATTCTACCAGACAGCAAAATGTGTTACTAGCCTTTCCCCTGTAGAAGTATTTAAAGACAGATTAGTTCTTCCCTATATGAATTAGGGATGACCAATAAGCAACTTGTATTCTCAGGAACCTCTCAGGAACCAGTGGAGAACAACAGTCATTTGTATTCTCTGTGCTCAGTAGCAGGAAGAGGTCCAAAAAGGCAACTGATGGATGTCTTTGACTCACGGAGCTTGTGCCAACAGCGGTCATACTGCAGAGATACGGTCAATGTCATGGAGACACTACCTGAGATGGTGACTTGGGGATGCTTGCCCCAGGTGTTTCCAAAGTGGACGGCTCCAGATCATGGTTGACAGTCTTGGTCTCAGGGCTGGTGATGGGAGATCCATCTGGTGGAGGCGAGGGGCTTTTATTTGCTTTCGCTGGGGTGCTGTCACTGAAGGAATTGAAGGGAGAAAGGGAGAGAGAGAGAGAGAGAAGTCTGAGCCAAGCCTAGGAGGAGTTGTGCACAGATCAGTGGCCTCCATTATCTCTTTGCTTCACTGCCCAGACATGTGATGAAGACATTTGAAGCCTCTACAAGCATCTTTGCTGAGTCACTTGCAGTCCAACGCACTGCAGCAGCATTACTAGTAGCAGCAGGCTACTCCCTAAATTCCTACTCATGGATATACTTTGCCTCAGACACAGAAAACCAAACAAAATAAAAACTAACTAGGCATCTTTAATTCTTCTAGATTATAATGTAAGTGCCTGACATTAAGTTGTAGTCTTTTAATACTGGGGAAGCAGATGGGGGAAGGAATTCTGTGCAGCTCATTTAGTTTTAAATTCTACAGATAAGATTTTTTTTCTGCATGGTGCTGTACCCACAGGTGACACCTGTGTGGGTTATGATTAATAGTTTTGCAATACCTGAACTAAGGCTGTAATCATACAATATCATAATCCTCTATATGGTACAAACTAGCCAAGCTGGAAGAGGGGCAGAGTAGCCAGAAGTTTCACAGGTCACTCCAGACAGCAAAGAAACAGTTACCAATAAAGATTTCTCTATTATGGAAAGTCTCCCCATCCTTGTTTTCAGTTATGAACCCCTTCTGCCCTTGTCTTTCCAGTTGGTCCTTATTCCAGGACTTGACTGTGTGTTTCTGACACATAGTCAAGAAGGATTTTTCAGGGAATTAAGAAGCAAGGAGCATATGCCAACAGCATTTGTTAGTTCATAATTTAGCCAGATTTGGGGAGTTTTCAAAGGAATGGGACAAGGCACACACCTTTCCCTAAGGGCTTACCCTGAGCAAGTGTCAAGTCTTCAAAGTACAGAATCATGAAAGATTTATAAAAAGCTGGTTACTAGAGAATTTCAATAGGGACAAAGGTAAAGCCATTTCTCAGCCTAATTCTCAGGAGCAGCTGAATCATCGTGGCTGAAATTCAGCTCCCCAAAAAGCAACTACTCAATTTATATCGAGTCATGCAGAAGCACAGAGACTGGTAGGGGATATTTAGCAAAGGTGGTTACAGTTTGGCAGAACTATACACAGCTGAAAACAATATAACAGAATATTGCAAAAGGGCTGTGCAACCTCATCTACAGTGGGTGATATCGTTTGCCTCCACTTTTAAAACTGCAGGTCTTGTGAAGTTAAAGGCCTTGGGAGAAGGCTGAAAGGAACGGATCCTTTCCTACACCTTGAGATATTAAATGCTGGCATAGAGCCATGACTAGAGACAGCAATGTAGGGCTGACTCTGCAGCAACATCAAGTTGATTATTACTTTGCTCTGTCTCAAGCAAGCCCAGAGCTCAAGACATACATCCACTCACATTTCGATACCTGAGGTGTGGTCATTGGCTAACATGCATCATAGCCTCATTGCTAAACACTCACGACTAGGGGAACAACAAGGGGAGGAAGGGACAGCAAGGCATTTCAACAAACCTACCCTTCCAAGCAAGCATCCAAAGCAGGGGGAGCTCAGCATTCCGGCTTTCAAGCTCTCCATCCCATTCCCTCTTTATTCACTTCATCCTCATCTATTTCCCACCTCCCACTTTCTCCCTATATCCACACCCCACACGCACATTTCTCCACAAAAGCGCCTGTTCTCAGGTCCACATGCAGGTCGGTTGTTCCTGGCAACACTGATGCCAGCAGCACACCAACATGATGCAACAAACCCAAACACATTCTCTGCCAGCAGCTCTCAGAGGCACACACGCCAAGGGAAAAAGGGAAAAGAGGAAAAGGGGCTTAAGAACATGTACGCCAACCCCTGCAGCTTTTCAGTTCTACTGAATATGCCTACAGTGTCCTTCCTCAGAAGTCACCAGAAATAACTTCAAAACAGTGGGTTTTGTGAAGGATTCTGTGAAATGGACAAGGTTGTGCTGCAGATTAAAGTAACGGTTGGAAGGTGAAGGTAAGGAAGTCCTGCTCTAAATGGGAGTCACCAGGGAGCAGCAGGAAATGGCCGGAAATGTCATCTGATGCTAGAGTTGGGGAAAGAAAAGTACATGTTACCTTCCCTACAGTTGAAAGCACTTTGGGAAAGATGGAGAACACAGTGAACTATTGCCAGACAGCCAAGACTCCTCAAATGCCCAGACTACACTGGGAATATTGGGACTATTGGCCTACCAACACAAGGGTAGGCTTTTTCTTCAAGGGACCTGAAGAGCCCACTTCTCCAACGGCAAAGGAGTTCAGGCTTCTCTAAAGACTATGAAGCAGCTTTTTAGTGCCTTACATCTGGTGCCTGGCAGTGACTTAATTTGGAGATATACTGGTAAAAGGCTCCCATATGAGAGTCCAGTTTCTTCCCATCACCCTACAAGGGCTGAGAGGGCCTCCCACTAAATCTGTCATTAGGTCACTACTATTTACAGCTTGTTTGATGTGTTGGCTGATCCTCCTAGGAAAATGCCAGTGCTAATTTTGGCTGAGCCTTTCCAATCCCCTCCCCAAGTGGCACCTTCATTCCTGCACTTGTTGCTTTGCATCCATTTAGTCAGGGCAACCAGCGTCAAGAGAGCTTGTCACCAGGATCCTCTGTCCTTCACAGATCCCCAGGGAGCACACACTGCCCACACAAATTCCTGGCTCCAAAATGACTGCTCACACAGGAAACACAGGAAAAAACAAGAGTGTATTGACTATCCCCACTGATCAAACCTGAGTATTACAGTAAAAGCAAGTCAGAGCAGAAAGGTCATTACTCTCTCTTTTTCCTTCCCATGAGCAGTTGGGAAGTGATGCCAAATCCAGGAATATCAGGCAGGGAAGGGAAGAGGGTGTCAACTTTCTTCTCCAAATAGAGATCTGGGAACAGGGTCTAATGCAGTTAATGCAGCTGAATGGGAAGCCAAATTCTTCAGCCCCTATAAAGCTGCTGAGTTCCCAGACTTCTCATGGGGCTGCCTCATCTGTTCTGGAAGAGCAGAGTAACATCTGCAGATGGGGTTCCCATGCACTTGTAACAATCCTATGTTAGAGTATGAAACCTACTTTCCAATATAGTAAAAACAGACCAGTCACCTCCTGCCAAGTTCTCAAGTTAAAAAGTAAAAAAAGCTGGCATCTCAGCTAAGGCTTAAATAGGGCTTTTTAGCCAAAATTAATTTTGTTAGCACCAAAGGAGGATGGAGAATTATTTAAAAAAGACGGAGTGGTATAAAGGAGGAAAAGGCACCTACATGCCCAAAGAGTGCCACAAATGTACAGTCTTGGTACAGAACAAAGAGTGACTGAGTCCCAGACCCCCCTTCCCTGCACCAGGGGTTGCACATTCCTCTGTGACCCCAGCAGCTGCTCTGAAAGCAGAAACCTCTAGCACAGCCCCAGTCAGACACCTTAACTGCTGGGCCATCTGAACTTTATGAGGGCAGAATAGGAGGACATTGTGTCTAGAACTCATCAAGATGAGATTTACTAGCTATCCCTCTGTTGTAGCATCTGTCCATTCTCAGTGACTGGAAATACTAGACCTCCTGCCTGGTGCAGATATAACACTGGTCCAACCAAAAACCAGAGACAAGCACCCAGAGAAGTACTCCTGTAAATCATCATTTTCCTACAGCAGAAAATCTCAGAAAAGTAACACAAGACATTCCTTTACTCATTTGAGAATATTAAAATCAAGATTTGCCCACCAGCTTTCCCTATGAAATTGGAACTCTCCACCTTCCAACCCCCTACTTTATAAAGGATGCACAGCAGAGACAAAGAGAAGGACTGTATGACTTGCCCTAGTCAGTGGGAAGCCAGGATCAGAAAACCAAAGATTTCAGTCCACCAGCACTTGCTTTTATTGCTGGCACAACATCATCTTGAGAATCATAATCTTTTTTCTTCTTATAGGGAACTCGTGGAGAAAATACCAACACAAAGACTAACAGAAATAATTAGAGGGCATTTCCGTGCCATAATGTGCAATTCCCACTTTGCTCCAGAGCATGTTCTTGGCCTATAGTAACTCTAGGCATCATAGCAATCCAGTTATTCAATGCCATCACTGCCTTGAAAGGAAAGACTCTAACGTTAGTCTTTATGTAAGACAACGGGCTTCCTTTTCCTTCAGCCCTGCACAAAATTTTCAATGGATGAAGCAAAACATCAAGTATCCTCAAGAACAGAGCAAGTAAGGAGCAAAGCCAGAAGCGCCCTTCTCCCACCTCATCATCCTTCCAACTGCAATGGGTAGATAGGACTGAACTTCTGAAAGACCTGCTTTGTTGTCCTCCCTGGCCAGACATGGAATGAGATTGCAGCATTTCAGATCTGCTCAAAAGGGCAAGCTCCAATAGGTAAAACTAGAAGTTGTTAATCACCAAAATTGCCCATATTTCCCATGGAAAACCCAGCACCCCGCTTTTAGTCACGCAAGAACAACTGAATAGACAATGCCTGAGCTTTCACACTGCCTTCTTAGACGGAAAAGAAGCAAGGATTCAAACCAGGCACACAAGCAGTTAATGGGATTATCCAGACACAGACTGATCTCACAGGACCCAGCAGGCCATGAACATATCATATCATGCAAAAGACCCCTCTCCCATCACAGGGTTAACACGTGCCAGGCTGTTAAGAGTACAGAAACAGCCTTTCCATTTTAGGAACTAAATTAAACACATATCGAAATGCTGCTCCCCATACCAGTACCTGCTCATCTTTTTCCTCAGCCTGGCGAACAGTTTAGTTTTCTTTCTGTTGAGGATGGCACGCAAATCATTTCAGTTACAGGGTGGCACAGTCAAATCAGAGAGGAAAAGTTAAGCTTTCAAGCACACATTCATTTGGTGACACAGATCTCACTGCAATCAAGATGACGAGATCTCCTCTCTCTCTATCACACACACACACAGGGACACACAGAAACATGTACACACTTCCTTTGGTTCATAGAAAGCTATGACCTGGTTTGGAGAGGGTAGGAGAGGGCTTTTTGTGCCTTTCAAAGATCTACATACATGTGAGCAAACTAGTGCTTTCCCTGGGGCCAGAGTGCACATGGAGAAGAAAAATGAAAGTGTATAGACACCAGTAGAGAACTGTAAATGTCTTTTTTTCACAGGTAATCACAGGTCTACACTCTATACTGTAAACATTACACAAGAAACAAGCTCCCCAAATTCTCCTTTACTTACACAATCTGTGCACAGTCTTATATATGGAACCTAATTAGTAGCTTTCCTATGTCTTTTTTTTTTCAGTCTGTCCCATCATACTAGGATAATACTAGAGATTTTCTAGGTCTTCCACGCATCTGAGCCTGAATGTTTAAACTCCTTCAGAAACAAATCCCAAACATATGTCTGAGGTTTCCACTAATTCATCAGCTGCTCTGTGCTACTGTGCTACACAGACAGCATAAGATTTATCACCCACAGTAATGTTTCTGTAGGGCTTCACATGAATGCCATAACGATGTGCTTGCATAATTGCCTCTCTTCTCACACCTCCTCATTCATTTCCTGCTATTGTATCAATCTCCAATCCCCTTCCCAGTAGAAAAGGGTTAGGGAAGCTCTTACTGCAGACCACAATAAGCAATCAGATCAGTGAAGGCTATTTCCTCCTGCACACTCTTGCTCCAGCCCTGCACTACAGTGAGAGGCCAGACATGCAGGAGAGACAGAAATGCCTCTTAGTATTTCCTGGTCACTGCTAAACATATTTACTATGCTGGCAAACCTGCATCCTCCTGTAACAACCTGCTTCACTGTGCTCATGAGGAAGAGAGCTGCTCTGGGGCAGGTCTGGCATCTCAGCCAAGATGCAGGATGTAAGTAATGAAGCAGCAGCACTCAGACTGCTGCCCACATAGGGATCTCTCTGTGTGCATTCATTTTCTGTTTTTAGGGCCCTGTGGTCTCATAGACAGGCAAAGAGCACAGAACTGCAGCTGAGATATCTATTACAGCCTCAGATGAACTAGCAGTTTGTGGGGGCAGGGATCATTATGACAGGTAATTTATTCATTGGAAATATTTTCAGGCCACAAACTTCATGCTACAACAACAATGAAAATGCCTAGGACAGGCTGTCACTATACCCTACAATCACTTTCTGGAGAAAGAGAAGAAAAAGCTGGACAAAGCAATGGCTACAGCCTTCAACTGTCCTGTTACTCATCCTCTTCCAAAAGACCCTGGAGGATGCTGCTGTCAGAGACAATGTAAATGGCAGCAAGAGGATGGGCTTCAGTCTTGTCGGGTTGTGATGACCAGAGACCACAAGCTAACTTGGGAAGAAGATATTATTTTCACAAGAAGCATTTCTACTAGGATCTTGAAAATCTGGCATTAGCAATCCAAAATTCAGGAGCCAAATTCAACTCAAACATGCTCTTCCTTTAGAGCTGGCAAACACCACATACACTGCTGGAATAAGACATGTAAGCTATCTATGCATGAATGCAATAGGAGGTTCAACTGGGAGGAGAGACAAGGGACCACAGAGGTCTCAACAACTGATCTAGCCCTTCCAAATCAATGCACTCATACCACAGCCTGCCCTTACTTCATGCTGACTACACCTCCTCCCTCTGTCAGTACACCAGTTGAGGACCTGGGCTGTGCTCCTGCTCACCCGGCATGTGGGATTAGCAGCAGCTGGAAGCCAGAGCCCAACACTGTTTCATCACTCACACATCCTGGATAGAAGCCAGACAGCCTCATCCAGAGCCCGACCTCTCCCTCTCCTCTCAGTGCTAGAGAATGTGCAGACTTGCACTTAACCATACAGGAATGAACCCAGCTGAGGAAAGAAAACTTGAGGCCTGGAGCACACTCACTCCTTGCATACCTGCAGATTGGAAGTGCTCTGAGATCAAGAGACCTCATGTTAGTGAGGCTGCAACTAATTCCACAACACACACAGAGGAAATGCACCTCAGCTGGGTACACGAGGGGCTTGGCATTAAGATAGTTCCAAGTTTGGAGGTCCAAAGAGGAGGCTAGGGAAACAAATGGGCTCTTGGTGGTCAAGCTCACAAGTTGCAGGTAAATGGTGGAAGCTTTTGAGGGACAGGTGCTGAGCAGCTGGACCCCGAAGGAAGGACAGCTCAGTGTTACATGTCAGTGCATGGAATTCAACTTTAGAAAAGCAGAGCTGAGTGTCATTTGTCTAAATATCAGCACCTAGTGAAAGTTTAGGTCTCCAGATGTTATTCTAGAAAAGCAAGAGGTATTGCATTGTCACTCAGCCCCAAGTGCAATCTTCGACATGCTCTAGGCAGTCTTAAGAGGGCAATGGCTGGCTATATGCAGGTAGTCAAATCATTCCACAGCTGACAACAGGGAGGTTTCAATACAGATGGTAGCGAATTCCCTGTCCCTCCACCCTTGCTGAAGGAAAGATACTAATCCCACAGTTACTAACCTGGGCTGTGCTTTAACTGGGAAGGCATTGCCCGAGTACTGCTTGTCTAGACCCAACAGGACATCATGGAGGTTTTGGTTCAACTGCAAAATACAAAAACAAAAGAAAAAAAAAAAACAATGAGAAAAGAGCCCAAGTGCCAGAAGAGAGTCCAGGCTGGCCTGCACAGGCTGACCAAACACAGGCTGCTTCTGCCTGTACATGTGCACATACTCGGCTATCCCAAGAGACGACAGCCCTACATCTGTTTCCACTGCTCCCAATGTGGTTCAAAACACTAGAGCACTCGAACTGTTGAGGAGCTGCTGGCAACTCATGCAAATGCTTTATCTCCTTTACACATCACTCTCTTTGCTTCTCCATCATCTTCTCCCACCAGTGTGCTCCCAGATACCATTGCAGAACCAGGCAGAGTGTTTAATCTATGGGTCTGTGTGGTAGAACTGAAGCTTCACTCTGGAGTTGTGGCCAAAGCTGTTTCTCAGATCTGCATATCAAAGCTTGGGATATGGTAATTTCAGCTTTGGAGCCAAAGGAAGCTGGATTTCCAGGCAACAAAAAGCCTTGACTTCACAGGCTGCCTGGGCCATTTAGGTTTGGGCAGGACCTGGGTATCTTTGCAGAAATGCAATAATAGGAGTTAAACTCCCTGGACCAAAGGCTGCAACATTCCCTCCAGACACTCCTATTCTGAAACAGACAATTCATAAACAAGATGACATGTCAGATTTATCACTGGTAGGAGGAATCCAATGCAATCAATGTTGGATACATCATGCCAGCAACACCAGCAGTTAAAGAGATGCTATAGCAGTAACAAGAAACAGATGCCTCTTATGGAACAAAGCAAAAGCCCTGCTCTCATACAAAACTCGGCAGGAAAGAAAAATCCAAGACACGATACAAGAAGAGAATTCCTGTCTAACAAGCATCTTTCCTATGTTTTGCTGAATATAAGTCAACAGCAACAAACTAACAATTATAACAATCCTCCCTTTTCTGAATCAGCTCATCCCTAAGTGGGGAAGAGCAGGCTATTTACTGGAAAGGTCTCCATGAAATGTCAGCAAGGCTCAAAATTAATGCATTACATCAAGGCAGAGGGCCCCTGACTGCTGGAAATTGAGGGACTATAACATTGCTTGTTGCTTAGCAGCTGCCTTGTTGTCAGGATGACACTGGGAGGAAATAGAAGAGTTTTCCAATTGGGCTTTCAGTCACTGATTAAGATCAGTGCAACGTTTACAGAGGGTGTGCAACTCTTAGGAGCAGTGTACGGACCTAAGGAAATCAAGACTTCTCTAGCTTTCAAGTGAAGGAGTAGGAACATATTTGTAAATGAAAGTGGCAATGGGGAGTCTTCCAACAGACTGTTTCTGAGGTTTCTGATGGGTGCTCCACACAGCACCAGGATCCAGGCAGAGCACTGCTTAGTCCTGTGATTCCCAACTCATGGCCAACTGGTAGTCCATGCAAGGGTCATGCTAAGCACTCAAATGTCTTCTTTTGGGTCACAGGGAAGGAAGGAAGCCAAAGCACAAAGGTACTGCTGGGAAGTGCCCTCTTGAGGGACCAGAGCGAGGCAGGTCTCAATCTGCACTCAGTCTTCAGCTGACTTGCAGTTTGGCAGATTTCCTGCTGTTGTCATCCCCACAGCTAGATAAGGATTCACAGCAACTTCTGCCAAGCAGCAGAGGAGGTAGCAAATAGATACCAGGCTGAGAATGCCCAGGTTATATGTTACAAATCCATAACGTAGATGAACTAAAATAAGGGAGCATGGGATAGGCCAGAAAGTGGCTCCTCTTCCCTCTGTGGATCTGCAAATGAGCCCTCTAAAGTGACACAAAATCTCCACTGCTGCATGGCCCTGTGATCTCTTCCCTGTGCTCAATCCTTTTACATTAGTATCTCAAGACAGCCTTTCTTCCAAATGGCTCAGAAAAAAGAAAGGGTTAATATTTTCCTCTGACATAGGGCAAAATACGCTGTTTTCTCCAGCTTTTTTTTTTTTTTCCAGGTATGTTTGGGGTATTTTTTTATTTTATTTCTTTTTTGCTGTTGTGTTGTTTGTTTGGGAGGGGTTGTTTGGGGGTTTTAAATAATAGTGAAGAGAGGGTGTATTTGTAGGAGAATCTGTTAGTTGCCTTACCTTGCTCATTTCTTTATGGAAGTTCTCTTCTAGGCCTGCTATACTCTGGAATGTGTTGACATAGAAACCAACACGGCTGCCAAATGAAAAATGAGACAGAAGAACTTAATGGACACAATGATCTCCCCAAAACTTTCAATTCTCCCTCTTTGGTTGCCTCTCACCCACCACTCCCATTCAAACTCAACTCTGTCAGGTCTGGTACATGCTGGAATAGAAGGGCAGCAGAGAAGCATGAAGGGGATGATGGAGCAAAGGCCAGATATAGGGCACACACATCCAGGGTGAGGAAGAGGCCAGCTGGGACAGAATTTTGATTTGTGCTGGCTGGGGGGTAGAAGCAAGGGGGGATTGGGAAGAGAGAGGCAGTAGTAAGGTGAGGTAAAGGGAAAGGATAGAGACTGTGACTCAGATGGAGTGTGGGGATTGCTGGGCGAATTGGCAGGAGGACAGATACTAATTCACTCCAAAGTCCCTCAGCACCAGAGGAAGAAAAAAGCATTAACTGTTTGCTTCAGGGGCAGAAGAGTAAGAAAGCACAGGATATGCACAGAGAGCAACACGAAAGCAGAAGGATCAGCTGCATAGCAGGAGTCTATGAACAATCTGTGGCATCTTAAAATCTCAGCAGCTGCCTGACACCCTGCTTCTTCTAGCCATCCTGCCAGCTGCCAACAGTTCTGTACCAGCACACAGCTGGAGAAGCAACAGCATGAGGGAGATGCTCTCTAAGGCCAGAGGTATCACTGTTCTGCACATAGAACAGGTGCCTGTATCACTCCCAGCTCCTTCCTCAGCCAGGCCTGCACACTGCTTTGAGCAAAGAGTCCTGACCCAGGCTGGGAGGAAAGGGGAGTGAAGGCAGACATCTGCACTTTGCTTTCCTGTCCTGCTGCCACCCTCTCTCTCCATTCCCCACAGACCAGCACTGCCAACCCAGGTGTTATCACTCCATTTAAAAATAAGAAACCCAGACAGTCATAGGAGGATTTTGCCTGCTTTCTAATGTGCCCTTCCCATCAGCTTCTGCTGCCCTCCACTTCATCCTCCAAGCTGAATGTTGGCCTGTTTCCTTTTCCTCCCTTTTCATCACCATAATCACTGGTATGGCAAATCTCTAGCCCCTCAAGTCTTCCTAGTTTCTCACATTATTTTCCTCTGCCCAGGCTATGTTTTGTTAAATAGAGCACAACAGGACATTTATAACCACTAGTTCCTCACTGGGTCGTGTGTCACATAGCCAGAAGCACATTCAGCAGCAACAGAAGGTAGCCACACCGGGATCTTTCCCTCACCTTTGTTCACTCAACTGCCCAAACCCAAAAGTGGCATTCAATGCAGAACAACCTGTCCTGTTATCCTCCCTCTTGTGTTAAACCTGCTGCTTCACTGGGTGCTCATGAGCTTGCATGGTGAGACACAGTGACCAAAGCATCACCTCTTGCCTCTCTCCAAACCCAGTTACAGTATAAATCCCCCTGACATCTCCCCTATATCAGCCAACTGACATACATACCCAACTCAGCTGCAGATGCACCTTCCAACCAGCCAGCTTCACCCCCAACATCTTAGTGACCCAGCCTGCTCTGCCTGCTGTCCATAGCAGAAGCTGAGCCACTGCCAGGAAAGTTGGACAGAGTTGGTGCGGCAAAGGTATGAATCAGACAGAGCACAGAAACACAGTTTCACTTTGTGGTAAAGTTAAAATTTTCATGAGGATCATGAGGCACAGAAAGCCCAGGGTGAATCTGGCTAGAATCCTAGGACAGGCTCTCCAAGATGATCAAGAAAACAAGAGCAGACACCCAGCCCAAGCTAAGGAGGACAGTATTACAAGAGTTTGGATAGTCACTTTCTTCCTTCCAGCCCTTAGGAAAACCTTCAGGACTCACCTATTCCATAGTGAAGGCAGCTCCTCCTGCAGATCAACATTCATCTCTTCAAATACCTTCTGAGCCTTTACTAACTCTTCCTCAGCCTTGATAACGAGAAGGGAGATTGTTAGCTCCAAGGCAAACAAGTAGCCTGCAGGGCTGAGACAACTGACTCCCTTGACTTCTTCAGGAGACCAGGCAAAATTCTGGCATGGGGTAATCCCCATCCCAAATTAATCTCCCAGGAGCCAGGGTTGCATCACAGATTATTTGATGCCCCTTCAGCTTGCATGTGTTAACTCTCAGGCTTTTTCTCAACAGATTTCCCTGTTTGGACACTCAGAAAGTAATTCAAACATCCACTAATGTGTTTTAAGCTTTATAAATTTCCCTGGCTTCAAAAACTGAATGGAGCTGGTCAGGCATTCCAGCCTTCCAGATGAAGATAATAGTGGTCCCTGCCCCTTGCCAGGTCTCTGAGAAGAGTCAAAATCCATCCCAAATGATGTTGAAGAAGGATCCTCCCTCAAGGGGATGCTCTTTGTTCAGGTAAGGTCACACCAAAGCCCCATCTCTTCTGAGGAAGGGAGGTTTGCATCCTTGGCTGATACAGCTCTCTCACAAAGTTGACTGGAGAAGCAAGAAAGGGTATGCAAAGCATGAGTTGTGCCAGCAGGAGGCCAGGCTGGTGTGCTTGAGCAGCAGGTCTTGGTTTCAGTGGTCCTGCACAAGAGCCATCCCAGGCTGGCTGTTGGTCACCAGCACCAAAGGAAATATGTCTTATACAGGACCTCTTTCCCACATTTGACAGTTTAAATTGCAACTGTTCATTTCACCTAAACAGTGAGAGACCCCAAGAATGATGACAGAATTCTGTTGGGTTTCAAACAAGGATAATCCTGGTTTCTGTTGCTGGCAGCAGAAACCAGCAACAAGCATGCTCTCCTTTCCATATTCGTCCTAGGTGACCTCTTCCTCTTTTCAGTGCCCTGACTTACAACTCAAAGCTTGCTAATTAGAATGTTTATATTCTGTGATTTGCAACAAGACAGGATTCTTCCATAACCCTATGCAGCATGGAAAATACCTGCATGAACAACATGATGACACATCTTTACAGGAAAGTCAGCACAAGGGCCTACTTGTATGTGTGACAAAAGCAGGAGTGCCACGGGACACTGCAAAGAGCACACAAGCCACTGGGGAACCGCATCTCTCTACAAGCCTGCAGTCTGATTCCCACCCCTTCTATGATATAAAGTCTTACCTTCTTTGTGCCATCTTAATTAAAGAAATTCAGCTTACAGCTCCTTAGTGACAGACATATGCAAAGATAGGATTGATAGGAGAAAGGACTTAAAACTATTTTTCAGTTCAGAGTCCTGTTCCTCCATGTTGCATATGATCCTTACACTCCCCATTTATCTCATGGTTTATGAGCAAGCTGCAGAAGCTCCTACTCTCCAGCTAGCTCCACTTTTCAGAGGGTTGCTCATTGCTGACAAAGGCAAGGCTAAGACTGTACTCAAGATCAGAAGAGAATGCTTCCCCTAGAAAGAGACATAACTGAGAAGTATTCAAGTTAAGCTGACCTTGGGAGGAACAGGAAGGGGGAGAAAGGGCCATAATGCTTCTACCCAGAAAAACCCTGTATTTTGCTGCTACACTCAATGAAAAACCCAGCATTTCAAGAGAGTTTGCACAAAACAAAATCCCCTTTTAAACTGAGATACCATGTATGCTGGATCACAGACAATGATCACAAATACTCAATTCTGTCTTAAAATCCCTCTACGAATGAATGTTTCTAATGTAACCATTTAAAAGGAGAAAAAACATGACAGTCCACCCTTTGGCTTTATCTTATTCTAATTTCCAACATAGCAGGGAAATGAGGCACCATTAACTACTGTTAGTTTTTCAGGTACAATGAATATTAATAACAGTCTTTCCCTCTCTCATTTACCTGTTCAGAAGGTCAAAGAACCTAGAAAGGAACATGTGAATATTGTGACATCCCAAGGCAATACCGAAATCAGCAACAGGCAACGTTCACTCTAGAGTAGTAGTAGGAATTAGGTTTCACCTAGTGCTCCCATTCCTAGGTACAGCACTGAATTAATTCTTCACTCCTTTGTCAGCCCAAGGATCTTCTCATCAGTGAAATTTATTTTGCTTGGAAGTAGGGGTCCTGACACTGGATAAACGTGGCTGCTTCCAGCTGGAGCTGGAAGACAGACATCAACTTGGTCATGAGCCCTGCTACAGGAAAAGCCAGCTCATGCAGTAAGGTGGGAAAAGGGGGAAAGATAAAAGTTTCAGGGCAGAGCCCATTGCTACCATATATGTGCTCTTTCCATTTCAGGCGTCATCCTGAGGGAGAACTGAGGCAGAAGGATGTAATACCCAGATCCATGAAATGTGATCTCAGAAAATTCCTCCTCTCCTCTCCCTGCCTGAAAGGGGGAAAGTTTGAGCAGGAGCTGGACAACATAAATGCTTTCCTGACCTTCCACCTAGCCAAGGCTCAGAGTGCCAAGCGCAACCAGTCCAGTTGTCTTAGGGGGCAATTATTCCACATTGTGTTTCCTATCATTGTGCATCACAACACTCATGAGTGTCTGGCAAGCTCCAGCCTGGTGCTTTCAAGCAACCTAGTGAACATTTCTCTTCACATACTTTGCTGTGAACTGCAGTAAGTATGCACAGTTCAGCAAATACTTTAGTATCTATGAGGCAGAGGTAAGGAGAAGAGGCAGGTGCCTCACCCCAGGCCCAAGCCCCCACCAGTCCCTGCCAGACGTGCCTTTCAGAAGGTTGTCATGGCCCAGGACTCAGCTTGCTGACTTCTTCCTACAGAGATATTGTTCTATTATCACCGCGGCACCAAAGATGTTGGGTTTTAGTCTGCATTCAGCATTTCAGGGAAGCTTAGCAAAAAGGCAAGAATTTGATGTTCTAAGCCATTTTCCCCTTTGTTTCAAAAAGCACAGTCACTAAAATTTGTAATCCAGAGCATGCAATAGGAAACTGCCCCAGGAGACTTTACAGAAAACTCCCACTGTATTGTTTTTGTTAGTATCTGCTAAAGGCCTAAAATGCCAGTGGTTTGCACACTGGAGGGAGGGACTTGGCTTTATAGTAGAAATAACAGGTCTCACTGACCCCATTTTTGCTTGGAGGTTGTAAAATTTTCAGGCAAGAAGAGACAGCAACACAGCTGCTAGCAAGAGGAAGGACTGGTTCTTTTAGGCTTAACATTCTGAAGCTCCTGGATAAATGCAGTGTCATCAGCTCTCCGGCTTAATGAGATTTAGGGTTGTCATTAACACCTGCAGTCTTGAAGTCATTCAAATATAAAACCTGAAGTCTTTTTTTTGGAAAACCTACAGGTTCAGGAATCAAACTAATCTTCCTTAGTGAGATTTGGGTTATTTTTGTTACCAATCAAAATAAAAATAATCACAAAAAAAAATACATTAAGAAAAAAGACCCATACAATTAAAAACAAATCATTAAGGATGGCAATAGTACTATTTAGTTCAAGAATGAAGGAGGAAAAGCTTAAAAGAGGACTTAAACTTGATTTGAAAATATCTGGGGTGACTGAAGATATTAAAGCCATGAAGCAGGAGGTTAACACCCCTGCAACACAGCAGGTCGAAAGATTATATACCCCCTTGCTCTAGGGCAAAGTTGGCCAGTGCAGTGAAATTATCAAATGACTCTCTGTAGCCTGTCAAAGATCAGAGCATAATGGCTGAGGGAGCACTCTTGGGTACTGTTGGGTACTCCAGGCAATCTGTGAGCACTGGTTTTACTCCCAGTCACCCCAACCAGTCTGAGAAAAGGAAAAAATGCCCCCATGAGTTGATTTATTTATCTGTGGCTTGAGAAACTTCCCATGCCTGCTTTCTAGTCCTCCACGAAATATCACCAGGCAAACAGAGCTGTCAAGAACCACAACCACGAAGGCTGTTCCCAGAGCCCCAGCTGAGGCACAGGAAAACCCTGCGGCAGCCTGCCAAAAGTCCTTCTCCTTTCAATCAAGAATGAATACATACTTCCTCCCTTTGCTATGCATCTCAAACAGGACTGTTAACAGATGTTCTTTCCCCAGGCTTTATTGATGTGGTAATCTAGTCTTTTCCCTGATCATAAACTGACTGTGAAAAGTCCAGGTGCTTTACAAGGTGAGAGCGATTTCGTGTTTCTAAACCACAATTCATTCACTGACTAGGAATGTGAAAATGCAGTAGCATTTGAATAAGAACAGATGAGCACACCAGGAACTTGTGAGCAGGTAACTGGCACTCTCCCAGTCCCGGTAACGATTTACTCTCCTTTGCCCACTGAAAGCGTTTCTTTCTGACTCTTATGTCAGCTCCTTCTTATCCCTTAAAGAGCTCCAAGGTAAACACCAAGGGAGATTTCATTAGGAAGCTTCTCCTGTGCTAGCAGACCCTGTAGTCTCTCGGAGCTGCCCTCATGTCCCTCAAGATGCTAGAATCTAAACATTCAGCCAAGTTCTGCCATTTCTCCTATGCAGGTTGAAATTATTTTGTATGTGTGGAAATGGTTCTTTTAGACTATGAAAGCCAGGATTGTGCACATTTTGGAAACTTTGATTTTACCAAAGGATAAAGTTGTAATACAGTCAGAAAACTATGCAGCAGCCATAGAAATTGCTTTGAAGCAATGGATTGTTGTGGTTTGTTGTTGTTTTTTTTTTTCTGGTTTTACTCAACAGCACAAATGCAGAAGCCAACCTTTGGAGGAACTACACTACATCACCCTCTGCTTTAGCATTATGCCATAGCCTTTCTTCATCCACATTTTGGTTTAGCAGGAGAAAACAGCAGTCCAGGATTAACACACCTGGTTAGAAATCAATAGAGCAGGCACAAATTTATTCATTTGGTCAGCAACTTCCACACGACCACTGTGTGGTCTCAGGAGTATCAAGGCTCAGGAGTATCAAGGATACACTCAGAGAGGACTAGAGTGAACGTTGCCTAGAGATTACTTGCATGGTATATTCTAGAGCCCAAAATAGCGCATGCAGGGTTACAGCCAGGTAGATCAGCAGTCACCTGATTTCGGAGCAGATTAGTTTGCGCAACGAGGTGAGCTTGTAGCTTCCCTTGACACCACTGAGGCGCAGCTTTCTCAAGCAGCGAAACAGGCTGGGGAAGGGAGCATGTTTGAGTGAAAAGAAAAAATAGAGAACAAGAGAGAGACAAACATGTATCTTTTAGGCTGAAAAAAATTAAAGTCACAACAGAGAGTGTATTTAGAGGCTGGGCCAAACCAGTATCACCAAGGCAAGAACAAAAACAAACATCCCAGGACCGATTGGTTATGAATCCTTTGAAGCATGCCAAGTTTAGCAGTAATTAATGCTCCAGTGTGGGCTGGGATATGGAAGACCAGCCAGACAGCTGCAAAGAGCAACAGATACAGTTGTTAGTGTCCTAGCACACAGACAACCCTACTCCAAGTCATGGCTGTGAAGTGGGAGCTCCTTGAAGAGAGGTCAGGATTAATTAACCATTGTCATTATTTGCATGCAACAGCTGAAAGTCCACAGTGCTTTATTTTAATGGCAGGTTGTGAGTTTAGCAATAAGTGGCAGGAGTCCTGGGTGGGAAAAGAACATCCATATATCAGAGAAGAAAAAAAAAAAGAGACCATATAGCTCCAAAAGGTATTGGCATTGCTGTTTCTGTTACTATACTATGAAACATTAATCAGGTCAGTTCCCGCTTGTATGCTGTGTCATAAACATGATTTCTTTTTCCCACAAACCTGTCATCATATACCAAAGTCCCTTACACTGGAACAACTCTGCTTCAAAGGTCACAAAAGCAAAATCACAGTCACAGAACAGAGAGATAAGCTTCCCCACAAGTGTGAGATCTCGGGCTGGGCTGTGAAACCTGGGAAGAGCATACATAACGTAACTTTCAGACACTCACTGCTCCCATCTTTACAGGATCAGGACAATACACTGTGTCACATAGTATTCCATACATGAGCTTATGGCTTAAAGCACAGAGGTGGAAAGATCTGATCCAATGCACATTTTGGCTAAGGAGAAGAGTTCGATCAAGTACTGAGGCTGAAGCAGGAACAGAGGATCAACTCTTAAATATCAACATTTCAAACTGCAGTTCTTCATACTTTAACAAAAGAGCAACAAACACTCCCTTGTTATTAACATCTTATGTGAGCATCTGGGGCAATGCAAGTGAATAAAACAATTACGAAGTTGGCCAGCCTCTTGAACTGCAGATCACCAGGTACCAACCTGAGTAGCTTAATTCCTACAAAAAACATTTCCACTGTAGTAAAGATCCCATGGGCACAGACCAATAACAATACCCCAAACACAGTGAAGTGCTTTGAACAGAAGGCACAACCAGCTGGGCCTCATGCCTTGCATACAGAACCAAGACTTGCTTTGCCACATAAATGATACAATGACACCTGAGCCATCAATCTCTTTCCCCTTTGTCTGTCAAGGTTTATCAGAGTATGCAGTGAGTGAGTGGATGACTGATAACTTGCAGCTTAAAAATAAAAGTACTGTGGCCATTAGATGTATATCTTTTGCTCATGGGAGAGATCCACCTTTACTTCTTATGCAGGAGAAGCACTAGTGTTTCTTACATAGCACATATTTCCTCCTACCACAAATAACTCAAAGCAAAAAAGTTGGCATTTTTATTCAGCCTGTTCAGAAGATACAGATCAAGGCTCGCTCTTTCTTGCACTGGTTCTAGCCTGAACAGTATTGATATGCCATGGCCCTCATCCAAGAGAATTAAAGATGCCTCTACAGCCCTGGACTGTTCTTGTTGTGCCAAGACCTGTCCTGAGGAACAGAGCACAGTGAACTCAAATCCACGCAGGATATATGAATAATCCACAGCTGATTTTCTGGTCAGGTATTTGAACCATGCATCTCCTGTAGAACAAAGTTAACACTATCACCTTTATTCAGCAACATTTAAAATAAAAATATAGATTTTATTTTTAATGAACTTATTTTAATAAAAAATAAAATATTTCACTTGCATGTTGGGCACGCTCTGTGGTTAACTCTGGATCATGCTGTTCAGACAGGAAAGAAATCACACCTTGACAAGGGAAAACTCTTGGTTTTGTGCTTTTAGACATATTTATTATCCAACAATTGTGACCATTTGACAAAAGAGCACAGCCATCAAGTGTGCATAGGGTGCATTTCCACCTATGAACTTGTAACTCACACTGTCCTAGTATATCAGAGGACTTCACAAACACAATCAACCTCAAGCAACACTCAAACACTTACTCTCACCACTGCTCTTAGATGAGGAGACAAATCCACAAGAAGCAGACAAAGAGGAAAATTTGTCAGGGACATCGCAAGGTTTTGCTTCCCCCAGGGGCACATGGGCTTTTCTGACAGAGGTTACTGGTTCTGCAACATCTGACCAAGCATGCCTAGGCCTTGGCCACTGGGAGATGCAGACTGATGATGGCAGGTCTGAACCAATACAACAGAGACCATCCTGACTTCTGGTAGAACTAAACAGATGAGAAGGAAATACCTAGCAAAGTCCTTTCAAACCTAAATGATTCTATGAAAACAGTCAAGAGGTACAGGTGCACTTAAAACCTGCTCAGTAGGCAAATTCAGACCTCCCAAGGTGAAAGGATGGCTGCACATCCTTCTGCTTGCTTTACCTTTGCAATTTTGGTTTCATCCTTCTTCTTTGCAGTTTGCAGGGCTTCAAAGTGGTGTCTAGCACTGTCATAATCCACAAGCTTCCGCCCTCGCTTCGCTATACGAGACTAAAAAGGATAGAGAAAAGAATCGTGACAATCTTCTCCAGCAGCCAAAAACACAAAGCTTCTCAGGAAAACACCCTTTCCCTTTATCCAACTTCCAGAGCACCCCATGCTCTTGCCCATGTAAAAGATACTTGCTGGATACTCCACACAAGCTGCACAGAGAGGTGGCCCTGGGGGCCATTGTGGCAGCTACCATCCTAGAGGGAGATCCTCAGGAGGAGAGCAGAGCCAGCCACTGAAAGCAATAGGATCCAGCCAACAGCAGGCCTCACTTCTGGGTGGAAGTAATGTTTTCAGGACTGTAGCTCCACTGCTTCCTAAGCCTCCCCATGTGCCTGCATCCTGTGGGCACCTGCTTCATCATTTTCAGGGCCTCCTAAGGACTGCAGACAGACTCTAATTAACCAACTCACAGCCCTGGTTCACATGGGCGTTCAAAAGATTAAGTTCAACAAAAGAAGGCGTTTCTTCTGCCAGCATAGCAAAGGCACTCATCCATGTGCTTAGGATACACCCAGGACAGCATTTTGGATCCTGCAACAGGAGGTCCAGACCTAAGTGACTGCAGCCATGAGCAGTGGTTCATTGTAACTTAGCTATTAAGCAAGAGAAGTGCAAGGGGAAATCTGTAGCACTGTGTCACTAATAGGCAAGACGCAATGAAACCTTAACAAGCACAAGGTAGGAGCCGACTGTGTACCAGGCTCGTGTTCAGGAATGGAGTTCTGACAAGTCCACAGGAGTTAGGCCTGTGGCCAGATCCTTCATTAGCCTTCATCTGAGGTGCCTCTGGCTCTCTTCCCCAGCAGTTTCATCTTGGTGAGGCTCAGGCCCACTGTGCTGCCCTGTTTTAAGATCTACCCATTCCCCTTAGACCGTTGCTTCCCACACTTCCTACAAACACCCCTGACTATCTGAGTTGGAGGACAGATCTTCCCAGCCTGACCCTAGCACACCCCAGCTCGAAGAGCCTTGTCCAGCATCAGCAATCAGTAGTCTAGAGACAGGCTGGAGAACTGGAGTGACACGACATGGCAAGGAGCCAGGAGGGGTTTTAGTTAACCACAGCACCCAGGGAAATTGACAGTGCAAGATGAAGAATCAGCATTGGGATTTACTTGTAAAAGCAAAATCCTCTCTCCCTCCACTGCACTTGGCAGGGAGATGTGGTTTCTCTCCCTAGGCTCCTGCAGATAAGCTGCAAAACCACACTCAGGGCTGATCTCTGCCAGACCAGCTGGGACCAGTTCGCACGTCTCCCACACATGCTCCTCTGCACTTACAAGCAAGCGCTGGTGCAGCTCTGTGTGAGTCACAGCAGATCTGCAAGATCTCAGCCACACGCACACCCAAACTGACTTCAAAGCATTCAGTTCACTCTGAGAGAGGAATCACAAAGAAGCTGAGCTGCTCCGCAATCAAGGTCCCTAGAAGACACCTCTCAGACATCATGCTGCCAGCCTGGCACTGAGACAGGATATCAGAGAGGGACAGTCTCCGAGATGGTAGTTAGTGCATTTTACACTCACATTAGATAAAACACATGGTCAGATCTGGGATTTAAGAGATGGAATTTTTCCCTTAGATCAGACTGGTAGAGACAGTTGGAGTTTCGCCCACCTCTGACACAGCAAACAGCCAGTTTCAGGTTTTCCTGCCACCCCACCAGGGAGTTTGATAGAATGTCAGCCATCTCTCAAATAAGGTCACTCCTGCCCTTTTTTGCAGCTCCTAATCTTCTATGCCTCACCCTCGTATTCCTACTAGAGGATGTGGAAACGCTGCATGCAAGTCCTCCTGGAGTAACTGGTCACACTGCCTGTGATGGAAGGAATGGGACAGCCCAGTCCAGGAAGGCTGCAGGGTAGTTTCCATGTATACTTAACGATAGCTGCAGCCAACTACCACCATCTGATGGTAAAAGCTGAACAACAGAGTCTGCTGCTTTGCAACAAATTCATCTTAACTGGAGCTTCCTTTAAACAAACAAAACAATCAACCATTCACCCACCGGAAAGCACTTCTCTGCCCACCCTTATATTTAAACCTAGTAGAAACAGGGTACCAGTTTCATTGCAAGACAGAAAATAGCCAATCCACAGCTATTCAGAACGTGGGTTATGGTTTATCTTCTCTGGGCTTACTATAGAGACCTGTATTCTTACTGTGTACTCTGCAACCTCAACCAAAAATATTATAGATGATGCAAGAGTCCTGCTCTAAGAAATTATGGATACTGGCTTGCAAAGAAAGGATAAAATACTCTTTGCATTCCCATTTTTCAATAAAGATACTCTTTGTTGACCCCTCCTCACCCAACATTTTAAAATTATTTCCTTTAACTTATAGAAATTCCTTATTAAAGAAATGCTATGTTTTCACATTCCTGCTGTGGATCCCATTGCAATTACAAAAAAAAATTCAAATGAATTTTTCCAGACACTCAAGTGAAGAAGAATTCAGAATATGTTTGAATTTAACAAAAAAATACACACATTATCTAACTCATCACAGATTTGAATTACTTAGCCATTAACAAAAAACAGGCATTCACAGAATTAAATCAAAATCATCTTTTCTCCATAAATCCTCTTTCAGTATCACAGAATTACAGGAAAAGCAGGAAATTTGCTTCCGTGGAGAAAAACAAACAAGCAAACAAATAAACTACAAATAAACACAACAACAGAAAAACTCTTCAAATATTCTGTAAATCACATAAGAATGGGGTTTCCAACCTCAGGGACTCTAATTCCATACACGAAGCCAAACTACACTTTTATACAGCTGTGGTAACCTTCAACAACAGTACTTAAAAAGAGTTTCTACACTTTTATACAGCTGTGGTAACCTTCAACAACAGTACTTAAAAAGAGTTTCTACCAATTGAAGAAAATCTAAGCCACTTCTTGATTTGAGTACTTCTGACTGCTCTGGGGTAAGGAGGATGATGGATCCAGCTGAATTAGCAATAAAAACATACTGACCTTTTTTAAGTCCTACCACTGAAAGTCCATTTTAAACAAATAGGCAACTCTCGTGAAATATACCCATACCTTATTGTAGAAACCAAGAGAAAGTCAAATTCTCAATTATTTTAGGAAGTGAAGCAGAGGTGAGTAGTGTTCTCTTTAAAACATTACTTAAACTGTGCATAAAATTGCTTTAACTTCCCATTTTCTAGAGCATCATCTGAAGACTAAGAACATTAGTCATAATACCTTAGTGGCCCATTCAGAAGCCAGAAAGGATCCATAGGAGCTCAGTACCTAACACCTCAAGTTCTGGTGGAATTTGAGTTGCCCCAGCCTTTCACTCCTTTTAAAATCTCACCATAAAGCCTCAGTGGGACCCAAGCAGAAATCCTAAAGATATTTAGCATGGAAAAAAAGTGACACTCTGAGGCGACCTCATGCACAGCTGACAAGGCTGGTAAAATGTGAAATAGACTGAAGCAGTGCAGAAGTCTGAGTTTACAGCAAGACTAAAAAGTGAATGAGGCTCTGCACTGCTAATTGAGGAACATGGCATCACACTAGAGGGAGCGATCAGCTCTACAGTCTTGAGCGGGTGGAAAAGCAACAGCAAGCCTCCTTGCCCTTTCCCACTTCAGACTTCCAGGGGCAGAAGAGGCTGAAAAAATGAAGCATGAACAAGGAGTCCCAGAAGGCAGGAACACTGCTGTTCAGGGCTCATTTTACAAGCCTGTGACCTGCCCTGCTTTGATACAGCACAGGCCTCCTGAAGCAACAAATATTGACAAATGTTTTAAGAGACATGTGGTGGGGAAAGGGTTGTTTTCACTGGGATGTAGCCAAGCTGATACTTCCCATATGGTGATATCATTACTAGTGTTTCCATATGGTGAAGACATTTCCTGGATAACCTTCTCAAAATGAATGGAGAGAACTGTGGATGAAGGGAAGCTCACAGGATATCACTCAAACCCAGGTCAAAAAGATGTCTATCCAGCATTCCCCCCTCCCTGTAAAAAGCTAGTTACGTGCACAGCAAGACTTCGGGGAACACACAGAAATCTGTCTTTCACACCAGCCTCTACTTATATAGCATACTTGCCACTAATTGCTTACTCCATGCTTTGTGCTTACAAGGAAACTAAAAAAGACCTCAAAAAGAGAGACAGAGCTTTTGAGTTATTGCTGACGCTGCCTTCCAGCACTCTGATACAATAAGGAATTTTACAAATCTTCCTGTTCTGAACTTTCATTTTCTTTTCAGCATCCTTCCCCCAGATTCTTCACACTCATTTTATACCCAAAATGAGAACATAACATATTCATTCACATGACCCAGTGCCATGGAGTTCTTGGCTGTTCTAAAAGGAGAGCTTGCAGCAGCACAGCACAAACATCCACCTAAAGAAGATGGGGATGCAATAAATTCTGACGAGGTTTCACCTGCTGTGACTCTCTAGATCAAAACATTTAAAGATAAACTTACTTTAATATCAGGAAATTGGCCAAGGTACGTATCCATGGTCAGGAGCGCCTGATCCACCAGCTTCTGATGGAAATCTGTCCAGAGGAGATCATTGTTCTGAAAAGCAAAATTAGTAAGATAGTTATTAAGAAAACAACATTTCCATTTTAATTCTTGAGTGCTACAGTCAACAATTTCAGTCCCCCAGAGCTCTTAAGAAATAGCCGCTTGAAAAAACTAAGGACCAGAGAAGTTAGTTGAAAACAGAGGTCATGTCAGAAATGTAGAAACAGAGAAGAAAGCCCAATGATGCTAATTCAGGTGACCTCTCCTAAGGACACAGCATCCTCCATGAACCTTCCTTCTGAAGGCCTGTCTTTTCACCCTAGTGCTAGCTCAAGCCCACACAATGGAAGGCACCATTTTCTGCTTTTCAATACAACAGAGCTTTCTGGAGGATAATGAACAATAACAGAGAGCTAATCTAGCAGTCTTCAATCCTCACATCACTTCCTCAACAGGCCAATGGAGGTCACGTCCAAGGCTTGCACCCTAAACTGTGCAGCTTTAGCCTTCATTTTATCTCAGGCACAGTAACTTCCCATCAACACCTTGTATTAGCTGGAAATCTCCCCCCTCTTCCGTTTTTTCACTGGAACAAAGGTTTGTGGCTAAACCATTTAGGAAAAATCCCCATCTTATATGGGATTTTGTTGTTGGTTGGTTGGGATCTTTTGGTAGGGTGGGTTGTTGGCTGGGGTTTTGTTTTATTTTTTTGGTGTGAGGGTTTTTTTTGGCGTGAGGGTTTTTTTTGGCATAATAACACTTTTCTCCTGCCTGTCTTTACCTGAAAGAGAGAAAAACAACCAGCGTGTGTGTGGGATGGAGGGGGGGTGAGGGATGCAGACCCTCAGAGCAGCTGCAGTTCATTCTCAGGACTCATGCTCCCTTTGACATCTCTGACTCAAATTCTCTGAAGGGACACTCTCATGAGGCAACACAGTGGCTCCAGAAGAAACAAGGCCAACAGAGAATGTGAAGCCAAGCCAGCTGAATTACAACTCCATTATTTATTGTAACAGCACTTCCTAATGGAAAGTTTCCATGTTAATGCAAGAATTGACCTGGAAACATTCAGGTTTTGTTTGACTTATCTGCTTTGAAGTCAGTATTTCCTGGGCAAAATGCAGATGTTATTTCAGGTGATATTTTTCTGCAGGGTAAAGCAGGGGAAGGACAGAATCTTTCTCCTGCTCTCCTCTCTGTTCCTTTCCCACTGCTCCAATGCCATAGACAGCTGCAGATGAACCCAGTCCTGCAGCCTCATGGCAGATGGAGCCACAGAGCTGAACTGCCACAGCAGAACAGCTGAGCAAGAGCAGGGGGTGCCTGCCTCCAAATGCACCCACCACACACACGCCAAAGGGGATCCAAGCTGTCACATGACAGCCTGTCCCCTAAGCGCCACAGAAAATACCTGGGCAAGTTGGACAGGCATCACCTCACCAGGGGATGAGAACACCAGGGTGGGGTGACATGGGGCTCAGCCAAACAAGGTGGCAACTAAAATATGGCAGCTGGTGGTACTGCTGTAAGAGGGAGATTGTTGCAGCTACACAATGGCGGTTCTGACCATGCTTTGGCCATAGATTTAGCTTTCCCTTTCTCCTGCACAGAGCATAAACAATACATCCAGTTGACCCTACTGACTCTCTCTTGGCATCCTGTATCCCTGTTCATCCACTCTAGGGGGAACAAATTACTAATGGGTGTAAGCATACAGCTTTGAATAGCATTCAAGCATCTGGGAACAGTGTCCTACACAGACAAAAATATAGGCCACATACCTTCAGCTTTCCTTTCTTCCCAATGCTGAGCTTATCTTTCCAGTTCTTTTCAAAGTCAAATGCCTGAAAAAATGTGGCGCACAGACAAATCCTCCAAAACTCATCTCCACTGACAGACCAAGCCTGGTAATTCTACATCCTGGACACAGTCTTACCTCTGCTATTTTATTCGTGTCATCTCTCCCAGGCCAATCTGGTTCATAAACTTCCTGCAGACACTCTGTCAGCTTCTTGGAGGCCTCATGCATAGCTAGAGAAGAAGAAGGAACTGCTTCAGAAAGAAGGAAATAATGTGTTCCATAGTGTGTTTAACTATCACCCTGAGGAACTGGGACACAAAAGCATTATAACAAATGCTAAGCTCTTCTTTACAGAGTGTCTGACCCTTGATAACACAGAGGTGGAAGGTAACCACAGAGAGAAAGGAACCAAGGATGCAGTCACATCAAATCCTTTGTGTTCATCCCCACCTATCATAGTCTATCTGGTAAGACAGCACCACATGTTCAGCATCAGAGCACAACCCCATTCCACCCATTCAATCCCAGGAGGCCCTGAAGGATTCCAAAAGATCACCCACCTTGACAAGGCTGACCTTTCCTACAACTTACACCTGAGGAAACAGCAGGAAGGGGACATCTGCAGAAACCTCACCGCATAGATAAGAACTAGAGCAGAAACAATCCTCTGCTGCACAGACCTTACCTTTCACAGAAGCCAAGTAAGTTCGGAGGTCCTTCTGCAGCCTCGTGCCTTCAGACTGTGAATATAAGGAGAAGACCATCAGTTATTCTCTCAGTGTAAGAAGGAGTCAAGCATTAATAAATTAATAGCAGATGGGCTACATATGAGCCCTAAGACCACATGAACATAAATGTTAACAGGGAGACCCACACAGCCCTCTGACTTGGTAAGCCTATAGTGAGTGATCTGCAGGCCTGTTTGACCAACAATAAAGCTGTGATTTGCAATTCCCAGCAGAGCCACCTTCAGTGTTTTGATTTCATATAAGCAACTTCAGACAGTCCTAAGGGCAACACTTAGTTTTATAAGCAAAGGGCCAGTGTGTCTATGCAACAAATGTAACTGAAGGGAGTTTGCAGGATATAGAAGATTCAATTGATTTATTTTGTACTGGTTTGGAAGCAGTTTAGCTCAACACTGTTTCCTGCCAGACTGCAATCCAAAATCCCAGTGCAAAGTGGGTTCAAGGGACCTGTGATCTGCCCAAACATCACATCTAAACTGTCCTGTACAGCAAGGCTTGCAAATACAGAGCTAATAATCCTTTTCTTTAGTTTCACTGTGGAGGTAGCCTGTCAGCAGCAGATCTCACTCACTAGTAAACAAAGGATTAAACTAGAAGCTGGGCTGAGTTTTGCCACTGTCAGACGACACAGCCAAATACAGTACAAGAACCCAGATAGTAAGAGTCGTGGAGATTTTACACAGCAAAGTTAGTTCAGGCATGCACATGTATATGCCCTCCCCATATGGTTCCTCTCCTGCACTAGGATAAGCATTCTCAGGCTCACCTCCCCTCTACCTTGCCATATGTCATTGACAGTGGTGCAAAGGAGGCAGGGAAATACTCCCAAATCCAGACAGTGACATCATACAAACAGAAATGAAAGGAAGAGAAAAGCAAGGCTTCAGAAGTTGACCAACACTACCACAGAGCATGTCTAAGCAACGTAAGGAGCAAACATTGAGGACACCTCTGCAAACAACCTCTGGAGTACGCAAGAAGTACAGAAAAAAAAAATTTGAGAGATAAAGACCTCTTATAAAAAGGTTTCTCTAACCCTGTGGCATCTTACTAGATCCTCACTATCCCCCAAATTAGCTGTAGAAACAAGAATGCAGGAAAATGACAACTACACCTCACACCTTCCTCACAGCCTGCTGTCATTCCTCCTCCTCTTTTCCAGTTTGTGTCCCATTGGGAAGGGGGCAGTATAATGAATTTTGACAGCTGAAGACAACTCCAGAGACACAGAGCTCACAGGATGCCTCTGACAGCTGCCTCAGAGTTACTAGCTTCAAAAGCAGATGCTTCCTATCAGCTCTCCCCAACACCCAGGCACCTCTTGCCTCAACAGAGCTCATGTTGTTGTCCCTTGTGCTGTCAGTGCAGCTGTGCTCTCTAAGCAGAGGCTAAATCTGACCAGCTGTTGAAGTGGCAGTGCTACCATAGCTTTGTGGAAAAATCCATCTGCTTCCAGTGCTATGGTCCAATTTGTTTTTCTTGCCTCGAAAGCTCTGGATGAGTTCACATTTGTTCTTTTCCTATTGCCCTCAACAAAGGAAACAAGGGATGGGAAAGGGCTGGCCACTTTTGTAAAAGGAAACCAAACTTCTAGTCTGGAGGCGCATTGGCAACTGATCCAAAAAGAGTACAAGAGGAAAGGAATAATGGCCACATCTGCTGTAAAAAAACTAGGAGTTCTTAAAACACAGAGCAAACAAATGCAGAGCTTTTTGCTGGCTTAAGGTGAATGTGGAAACCTGGGCAGATGAGACTCTCCTAACAGTGCAGTCAGAAACCACCAGGGAAGAAACACTAGAGTAATCAAAGCGTACACACGGCACCATCAGGGAGGCTAAGCTTACAAGCAGCAGTTCAGTCAAGCAGGTAAGGGAGTTTGCTTGTGCCTAATGCAGGAAGTAAGAAAATCTTCGAGGAAAGCAGTGCTGTGTGCCTAGAATTGATCCATGGTAGAAATCACAGACTGGAACTGACAAGAAATGTCAGAAAACAACAGAAAACAGCAACTGCTTTCTCTCTGTGCATGCAGCACCTGCTTTCTTTGAGCAGACTCTAACAAGGTCTCAAGTACAGCCACAATTCTGCATAACCACCTCTCACAGTGCAGTTAGATTCACTCAAATACTGTATAGTAGGACAGCTTTCAACACCCTTGATTACACATTTAAGTGATGCTTCCTAAACTCAAAGGTAAAAAGTAGAAAAGAAAGTTGAATCGGAATCTGCATAATTAATCCACTTCCTAGTTCTTGTAGAGTTTGAGTGTGCAGAAGGAAGTTACAGAGGTATGGTTGAGTGTAAAGATCTAATAGCACAGAAACTTTTAAACTGCAAGAACATAAAGAAGAAATTGAGTGTGTGTGTGTGTTTGTATCAAAGTAACAAAACTCCACAAAAAGAAAGTAAAAATAGGACAAAAAAAGGAAGATCAGTGCTGATTCCAAATCCCAGATTAAGTTCTCATTCCTGCACTAATAAACTGACTTAAAACTTTCACACAGGAACAATCATACTGTGTCTTGATGTAAAAATGACCACAATAAGTTAATTAAACACACGAGTGTCATCTTGTTTGAGCAGATATTGCTATGCTTGCAAACACAGTGTAATTCAACCCTGTGAGCCTATAATACAACCAGGTATCATTTTCCTCCCAGTCTTCAAAAGAAATGCTTTCATCCTAATATTAGACTGCAACCCCTTCTTTACACAACCTCCCTGGTTTTGTAGTCCTTTGTAGAAGGATTTTTATTATCAGGAGGGCTGTTTTACACCTGAGAGGGGCAGAAACAGGTAAGCCTCCAGTCAGCACAATGTCAGAGTTATCAAGACACAAAGTGTGAACAACTGGTGAGAAGTTCCCATCCTGGAGTACCAGGCAAACTATTAAACTTGTTTTGCTATATAGGGCTGCAACGAAACTGCTGGGGTAAGGGTTCTTGTCTATAAAGAAAGTCACTCTCTGAGCTACTGACTGTAACTGTCCATGGCCAAACCTACATTGCAAGAGCAAAGATAAAGTTCACACTACCTGCCCTGTAGGCTGAGGCTGTGCTGAACACTGTGGGGGAGAGGCAGAGATGGGTCCAGCCCATGCCAGCAGCAGCTTGCGTCTCATGCATCTCATGTGAAACACTGTAAACCAAGCCAGAACTTCCACACATAAGTGTGACAGCTCATGAATGGTATCAGAACCCAGCTGCTCTGTCAGGCTGAAACTCAACACAGTGCCAGGTGTAAGGGCTGCCACCACTCTCCCACTCCCTGTCTCTCCAGTGAATACTTCAAATGCAGGGGAAGAGAAGCCCAAGCCTAACACACCTCATGCAAGGGGCTGCGTTGCAGCTGTGCTCCCAGGTCTGTAAGGACAACTTCCAGGAACAGTTTTTGTGCAGATGCCTGAACACAAGTGACACTGGGAAAGGGAAGGAGGGGAGAAGCCTCCACATGAACTTTTTGGGAGGTTAATTGTGAAAGAGAATCTGTCATGAGGGAGTAATATGGGGCCCAGTTGTGTTGTTTGTCAAGACTTCAAGAGACACGGGTGAGCCCTATAGCCCTGCAGAAGCATGGTTATGTCCAGCTCATTTGCCACACAAGAAATTCACCTGTCTGAGCTAAAAACCTCCTACCATTCAGAGCCATCAGAGTGGGGCTCTTACATGAACCTGAATGGATAGAGGTGGGAAGCACAATGCTTTCCCTTACGTCAACTCAACCACCATGGAGGAGAACCACACAGTGTCTTGTTTGAAAACAAGTAAGTGATTTTTAGACCTACTCTCCATTCATTGACAGCCCACACATGGAAATATGTATTGAAGTGGTCCCAATATAGCCATTAGTCAGAGAAGCCTCTAATCAGGACTGAACAAGGCCACTGCCTGGTCTCACCCTAGACAGTTCCACAGGAGAGCTGCTCTGTCTGAAGGCTGCAGCAACAGATTAGCTTTCCTCCAGGCTTCCATTTCCCACAGGAGCAGACTTTACAAGGAAAGGCCATAGAAATTTCATACATAGCTATACTACACACACACAAAACCAAAAACAAGTGTGTATATATTGGCATATAGCTGATTCCCCCCCCCCCCAGTCTGCTTGTCATCATAACAAATCCTCAGTCCTGGATATCCTAATGATCCAGCTATCTCACATTTATGATTTGCCCTGTAGAACAGGTATTGTTCACATTAATTTTAGGAACAGGGAAACTGAGGGTGAGAGCAAAACCAACAGACCCCAAGCAGCAAATGCAGAGCAGCCTCCAGCTCCTTTGATAAATTATATGGAGAATATAGTTCATGGCCTGCCCCTGCAAGATGAGAGAAGAAATTAAGCTGCAAGGGGTAAAGAGGTAAAGCTTCTTTTGCAGGCTTGTTGGTGCACCACTAGAATTCACAGCTTTGGAAACTGAAAAGCTATCCCAGACAGCCAGATCAAGAAGTTTGGATTTTTAGCTTTTCAGTGTTTCTCCCTTAAAAAGGTCATTTCCCTATTGTCAACACTTAAAAATTATACAGAAAAGTCACACCTAGTAATGTCATGTCATCAGAAACAAGCCAAACTGTATTCCTCTGTGTACAAGACAGTATCACTGGTGGACGTGCTATAGAGATGTTGCGTGAACTTCTGGAGGAACAGCTATTACTGCTGCCAAGAGAATGAGCACTAGTCTCCAGGAATCTGCAGTCAGCTCTGGTTAGACATAAGTCAGACTGAAAGATTTTCATTATATTCAGCTGTGGCAAATCCCTTCTCAGCTGGTTTTGTGACACATAACCACATCTGCTGAGTCTTAACTGACATGATACAGCTGCTGCTAACAGCTCAGAAAGAAGTCCTAAATATGCAAAGGGGCAAAAAGGAGCCAAAAGATTTCTTCAGCACTAACAGGGCTTTGGTGTGGCACACATTTCCTGCCATAAAACAGAAGCAACACTTCCCCTAACACAAAGCACGAAGGTGCAAATCCCTTGAGGTAACTGATGTTCCCCCCTCTCTGGGGGGCTGAAAGCTCCAGATTAAAAATAAACAACTAAAAACCAACAAAACACACACAGTTCAAGATACAAACCTACTGCTGGTTCAATAGGAGGGTGGGGGGAAATTGCTACACTGTTAAAGTATTTTTGTATGCTAAATACAGGGTCGAAGCAGACATGCCAAAGAATAATGACTCAGGCCTGACAGTGATTGTGCAAGGATGGTGGGGAAGTCAGATTTAGATCTTAGCCATGGAAGGGTGTCCCTTTTCACCATTTGCTTACTTTGCCTCTTTTGCCCTCCACTGCAGGTAGGAAACCAAAACTGCCTTGTTCCATTTTAATTTTTATTTTTAATCTCTTTCCCATCCTATCCATCCTTCAGAGACACGGTGTTGCTCTTATATCTCACTTTCAGCCCAGCAGGAAAAATTACATTACAAAGCATCTGCTAACTGAAGGAAGTGCTCTGGGTGAGCTATTTCTTTTCCTAAACTTGAGTCTAGAGCAAGCATTATTTTACAGCATACAGTATCACTGACTCCATGACAGGGACACTGGAAGACACAGCATAACTTCTCATAAGTGAACAACTATGAGTTGTGGGTCACTTCAACAGGCCTAAGGCATCATTTAATTTAATGGGCTTTAATTGCATATTGCAGCAGATGACTGGAAGATAATACTGAAGCCCAGGGTGTAATTACATATAGCTAATTATCTTACCAGCTGTTTATTGAAGTTCTGCACGCACTGTTCAAACTGCTCATCTTTTGTTTCATCTGCTTTCCCAAGCTTCTGAAGGACCTGCAGAAGAGAGGAGAAAGGAGACTTCAAACATAGATCTAGCAAAGCCGAGATTAAAAAAAACACCTTGGCAAGCTTTTGCTCACCAGACTTGAAGAAGTTATAAAGTATCCCTTATTCCACACTCAGAATTTCTGAAATATTTCTCCACACAGTCATAGCTGGGAAAATGACTTACAGGAGAATAAGGATGAACTCAGATCTCTTCTTCTTTGCTGCACAAAAGAGTATGACCGATGTTTGTCCTTCACTAGTCTAATGCTTTTTGCAGGCAAGGCAATAGCAACCCAAGTTGTTCATCTCCTGGACCAGCAAGAAACAAACCATATCACTATGCCCTTTGTTGTGTGGTTACACTTATCCTGATTTAACACTAGTTTCTGGTCCAGATAGGGTGGGGTTTTTTGCTCCCAGAACAGCTGGACTGTCCTCAAAACCAGAAAGCCAGACAGAGACCTCCTTAGATAAAGAAGGTGGCTGGAGCAGTACAAGCCCAACCTTCTTTTCACCTTTTCTCACTGTGCACATGCTTGACAGGAGCTGGCTGTTGAGAGCAACGAAGGACCTTACACCATGAATCTACGTGACAGAGTCCAAGTGTCATGTTTGAGAGTGTCAGCAACCAGTCCTGTTTCTCTCACCACCTCCCTGCACAGCACAGCTCCCCAAAGACTGCAATGAAGTCCTTATCAGACTACTTCCCTTATCATCCTCCTCTCCTAATGACCTCTTCATGCAGTTAAGTGGATTGCTCCCAGGCTTTGAACAAAGAAGCATCTCATTTTCTGGGAAGCAAAATTAAATGTGTCCCATCACCAGAAGGCTGGCCAAACTGCAGCTGTGGAGGGGGGCTGCAGTTATTTGTCAAGTCCCAGGCAACTCCAGCAGCAGGAAGACAAGGATGTAAACTACAGCTGGTTAAGCTCAATTACAACATCTTTGTTATTCAAAAATAAAACCTGACTACACCAAAGAAAAAAAAATAATTGGAACTATTACATATATTGGAACTAAGCCAATTATTTAGTCCAACTGCCAATACATCCACTGGTCCACTTTCACCTTTTTACACTGCCAAGGTGGAGAACATTTGTATTATGTCTGTTTGGCTAACCTCGGTTCTCTTCTCCACTATTAAGCACAGATATCCCCAGCTCACCCATGACCACCATAACTGACTCTAGTGCTAGGCACTATAAATCAGTACAGTCATTCAGCACCCAACTCACAAGTCCCCTTATTTAGGCTGGGATTTAATGTCTAGGAGGAAACCACTGTTTTTCATTCTCCTTCTGGTCAACAGTCTCTCTTCACCTCCAGGAATCACTAAGGTATTCAAAATGTTAGTAAAAGGAGGGAAAAGGACACATGCAGATGCAGACTGCACTCTGCCAGCAAGGGCTGTACCAAAAACCTCCAGTTAGAAGCACAAATTCCTACAGCTCAAGTGACAGCAACAAATACTGCAGCTACAGGCACCTAACTTGGTTGTCTATGCAGCAGGGCATAGACAGCATAAATATTCCCTTCTTCCTCTCAAACCCTTGGCACGTAAGAGCTTGTTGGAGAGCAGAAGAAGCAACACTGTTTGGACAGGCAGAGTCCTGTACACCAGCCACTGGTACCTCCTTTGCTCCTCTGCTCCAGTGAAGGGGAATGCATGCCACAGCAACAGTGCTGTTGAGGCTGCACATCGCATGCCAGCGGGAGAGAAGCATTCAGTATGGCCTCATCTTTCTCGTCCGATGGTGAACCTCTTCCAGAAAGGACACTGCTAAAAGGCCCTGTATTCAGCTGTATTCCCGTAAGCTACCAGATCTATTGAGCATGGGTTTCCCACCTGCTGGGTGACTTCCTAGATGTCCAAAGAGCCATCACTGATAACAATAAAGTATGCAAGCTGCAAATTCCAAAGCAGAGATATGTTCCCAGTGTGCAAATCAACAGAATTATTAGGGATATAAAGGAGCTTTCTATGGGGCAATGCATGTCTGTCTAGCCAAGAGACTGATGCTTTCAGGCCTGGAGGGGAGGGAAGGAGACCATTTAACGGTGAGTAATCCGAAGTATGTCGCTGAGGTCAAAGGTTCAGAACAGCCCCAGTGCTTCCTGGTATAAAACACTGAACAGCACCCACAAGCTATTCATTGTGGCAGCCACATGCCTGCTTTCCACATGTCCAAGATATCTGCAGTTCCACTGCGCCTTGGAGGGGCACACACACTGAGTCTGGGGTCACCCAGCCAGCTGGGAAGATCTTGTTCCACTATGCCGAGGCACTACAACACAGCGGAGAGACAACAGCCCTAGGCTGCAGCAGGGCAGAGGTCATCTCATACCGTTCTCCCTCAAAACCAGATCTGCCCCATGCAAACAGCCCAGGGGTCAAACCCCAAGTCATTTGAGTAGCATAAAACAATGGCTCCACAAGACTGGCCCTCAAGCCTGCCCTCAGCTCTCCCATCAAAGACCCATCAGGCAAACTGTACTACCAAATCCCTCTGGACCCCCCTAACCCAGCCAGGGTTGGAGCAGCTGGCCCTGGGTGTGCTGCTGACTATGGACATGTCTGTGCTCACTGCTAATAACCGGTGAGCTCACAGGACAACTCCCCTCCCCAGGCTGGTACGTGCCGTCATAGGTCAGGCTATTCCGGGTGAGTCAAGGCTGCTCCCTCCCTCCCCTGTGACAGCCTTTAATCCTCCAACTCACTGCAAAGCCAGATCAAGTTCAGATGGAAACTTCAGGCTCTTTGATAGCTATTAATGGAGCAGATTTACCAGGGTAGGAGTCAGGAACCAGCCACAGCTCCCAAATCCAGGGCGGATCAAAGATGGTGTGACCTGTCAGCTGCTGTCTGGATGCAAACCACACCAGGCACCAGACATGGATCTGGCATTTAAAAGATTAAGAAGCAACCATGGCTATGCTCCTTGGTCTGCCCTTGACCTGAGAAGTCCTGGCCCTGCATAAGGACAGCAACCATTTCAAGATGGTGCAAGCTAGGATGAAGGAGAGAATACTTTGCATGACTCCCACAAAACATCCTGTGGGATGCACTGCTGTGGGTTCCAGTCTTGGTTCACTACAGATTCATTATGACAGGATGGGGTTATCACCCCAACCAATGTTTTTGGCCTCAGTCACTGGACACCATTTTCCAGTGTTGCTCATAAACCAGATCACTTCCAACAGTCCACTGGATCTGCAGGTGCTCCTTATTTCTCATAAACTAGAGCCACAGGCAACTGATCAGCTACTGCAGCATCTCCAAGCAGAGCCAAATTCCACCCATGGAGCCTCAGTTTTCCCTGCATTTGAATAAAAGCAAGAAGGAATAAAGAGACTGAAGTTTTAAAGGCACTTTAAAGATCCTAGGAGGCAAGATGTAGTAAATTATCACATTCTTTCTCATATCACTGATGTATCTGTAATCTGGTGTGGCAGGCAGAACTATTTGCAGTAAGCTTTTAACTACCGTACTTGGAGAACTGAGATAACAGAAGTGACAAAGAAATCTGGAAATCTTCTGTATGAAGATCTGGCATTCTGCTAGCAACCGTCAGAGAAGTAAAGACATGCAATAGCCTGTAATACCAGCAACTTTTCCTAGTAGTATGGAAAGTTTGCTTAGCGAAATCGAAGCTGCATTTTTTTTCTCAAAGACAAGACCATAATATTCACAGGATGACTGAGCATTACTTAAATACCACAGCTTCATAGGACTCAAAAGGGAGCATCTTATCTGGCTGCAGTTTGCCTGCATCTGGAAGAATTTTATCTGGCTCTTTTTTCCAGGTGTACAGGACGAAGCATTCCTGAAGGGCAAACCCCTCCACTGCTTAACACAGGATCTCTGGTGCTCTGCTTTAAACAGTAGGAATGAAGGAAACCGAGATCTGGATATCAGCCTTGTGACCACCAAACACTCTGGTGCAGAGCAGCAGTCACCATGAAGGACACTTGCTAGCTATGCAGCAGCAGCTAGTACCAAGAAGCATTATCAGACTAAGTAGAATGCAGCTCTGCTTTGCTTTAAAAAGCAACTGTAACAGATTCACTTTTATACTTTCTAACAGAGAAATATACATCAGCTGCTTAATGCATCCACAGTTCTTATGCAGCACTTTCCTTTGTGCTCTTTGAAAATGTCAGTGCCACAACAGAAGCCCTGAAAAACCCAAATATTCTCTCTCAGCACACCCCAAGTGTGACCCATTATGTGAACCATTATGCGAAACAATAACCTAATAAAACACTGCTTTTCATGGCATATGGGTCACCCACGCCAAAGACCAGTTTAGAGAATGCAAGTGATGAGTAGGAAGGCAAAAATAAATGTAGTTTGAGGATCCCAAACAGAACAAAGTCTGCATCTGAAATATCTGAATTTAGGGTGGTCTAGCTCCAGTGAAGAAGCAGGCATTAAGCCCACAGCCAAAGAGCCTGCAGCCCTACAGGTTCACACTCTCCACTGTATCAGAGAAGGGGTTGCAGTTACATCTTTACCGATACAGGCCCAACGCTTCTAAATCATTCTATCCCCTGACATCTCCACCCCTCATAAATGACACCTCTGACTTTTGCTGTATCTGCCAACTCCAGTGCATAATCTCCAACTACCAACTGGGCACAGAGCCAGTAAGTGCTGCGACTAATTTTGAACTGCAACAAATTGGCATGTGCCAATGGGTCAGTTAGCAACAGAACAAATAAACCTTTAATCTCAGGCGGCTGCCTGTTCTTCCATGAAAGACATTGTACTTGGAAGAGGGGGAGAAGAAAATAGTGTCCAAGTCAGACAGAAAGCATAAAGCCACGTAACTTAAGGTACAAACAAAGGGAGTTCCATAAGCTTTTTTAAGCCCTGTTACTTCTCTGACCAAATTAAATGTGATTTGCTCAGTGAAGTAGATTTGTGCTCATGAAATAATTTGGGTCATGCACTCAGAATCAGGAAGAAAAGCAAGAGCAGCAGTGGGAGTCCTGCTCCCTTTCCA